ATAGATAGCCTCTTTCATTTTCTTCTCTTTTCTTTCCTTCTTGCCTTTCCTCGCCTCTTTCCCCTTGAATGTCACCTCTTGTACAGCACTTTCTTGCAGGTCAGTACACCCGGGTTGATCTTGTGGTGTTTTCTTTCTTGTTTTTTCTTAGGTTTTTTGTTGGGTCCTTGCTTTTTGTCCTTGGTCCTCCCCAAGGGGTGCCTCCCAATGCAAAATGCCCATGTTCCCCGCCGGTGCGGCTTTGCGTAACTGCACCGTGAGATTGCCAAGCCAAACAGGGCCAATGCTCCATGACATGCAAGACACATCCCTTGTAGTGTTTTTGAGTCTTAGCCCCCAAGCCAATTGTAAAACAAGCATTTTGGAAACTGACTCTCTCAGGTGTACTTGCAATGCTAGCTCTCTTTCACACATGATGTCTGTGATCAGTACTTCAGTCCAATCATCAGCTGACTCTCCCAGGTAGACATGCCAGCCTTCTTTTGCATATGACATCTGTGATCAGCCATTGATTGTCAACCCCACAATGTGAAACCAAACTTACTATGTTCAACTTTGTTATATAAGGCCTAATGTGTTTGCGCATCAAGTATCCCCATTCCTGACTAGCCTTTTCATTCAATGTCAACCATGCACAATATGAACCTGCACTTTCATCCCTGCAACTTTGTCATAGAACCACTGGGTGTTGTGTAGTCAAATTCCTGACCAGCTGTCTGTCCAGCCCAACAAAGTGTTCTCCCATTGGATGGACATCATAGCTAATCTCTCTATTTATAGCCACTCACTTTTTGCCCAAACTTGCCTTCTTTTGATCCGCCTGGCTTTCTTAGCAAGCTGAGACTGCCTCATGTTCATGTTGTAATCTTGGGCAAATGCTCCATGACACTTGGAGCTGATGATGATTGATGCCGAACAGGAATTGGTTACTTTGTTATGTATTGGGTATTCAATCATTGTAGCTGGAGAGCATGTTTTTCAGAATTTGGTATCAGCTTAAGAATGATGTTACACCTACCGTGCGCAAGTGTAGAAAATTTTAATCCGCCAAGGCGGAACAGAATGGCAATGATAATGACATTTTTGTGATGACTTTGCATTACATTACGGCATTGTTGGTGCAATTGTACTCCAAAATAAGACTATTGCAGCGGCTGGGTGCCCAGTTCCTAGTGGTATCACTAACAAGAAATGTAAACCCTTGATAGCACCTTGCCCAAAGCTATGATCCTTTGAGAGACCCAACTATAAGTTTCTTCTCAATACATCACAGATTCACATGAGTCTTCATCATATACATTTTCTCCAGAGCTGTTTGGTTCATTGTTGGCTCTCCACCCAACTATTGTGTATCTTACAAACTCTAAGATGAACTTTCTCTGTTAAACTTACATTCATGAGAATTTTGCAATTCCAGGCCACCTACATGGTATGGCGCCGTTCCCAGCCTCTGAATCATATTCAGCAACATGAACATTTTGTTCAAAAGTGATCTATTATCTACAGGTTAGCAGACATCAAGGAAGTATAAAGAACAATCAAACTCTATCAAATTATTATAAGCACAGAATTATTTTCGTCTTCTCATAAGGTTACAACATTATATCTAACTCCATGAGAGACATTGTCTATAGATGGATTCCTACAGCCGAAAACCCAGGGATAACGATTGAGTCAATCAACCTACCTCGACCCCCAACTCGTACCACAATCTGATTCGATCCCAATACGCTATACCCAAAGTGAGAAGAATTAAGCAGATGTGAAAAGAAACTCTGGAAAAGAGAAGCTAGGACTAACTCTGGATAATCACCCGGTTTCATACCTATCTGTGTCCCGGGTGGAAGTATCCATTCTTCGGGCTCATTATTTAGAGCAATAAATCCTTTTGAACCACGAGAGTACGCAGTTCGGTTGCTACCCGACTTCAACATTGTAACACGCCGTTGAGAAATTTATATAAAGAATAGTGACGAGACCAACATTTCAATGATGTAATATCAACAAGATGTTTCATGGTGTTGATACCTAGCTGAAGTGATATAAACTCACGGTAATGATGTTTCGCACTGGCTGTGAACCTGATCTGCCACGAATCTGGATAGCACCAACTATCATTGGGTGACGGTGCTCACAGCGCCACCCGAATCTAACAATGCGAGAAAGCATATGGTTCAAAGACATCAAACGTTACGTCGGATCAAAAGATTTGATGGGGAAAAGACGAACTGGCCACAGTGCACCCGAAATTGACTTGGCCCATCATCAAAGTTGGTGAAGTTATAGCCACTTAGGATGTCTACTTGACCATATGACCACGTCAAGATGAACACATGGGCCAACAAATATTGCGGATCAGCCGCAACAAGGGATCCCCCGCTCCTTTCCAGGTCGTGATTTGTGACGAAAACTGTGCTGTGTTCGCTGTGTAGGTGTTTTCGAAGAGTACCATATAAAGCCAGTCACGTTGAGATATGCTGTGCAAACTAATCTGAGAGTGATGACTTCGCTGACCTCGCGAGGTAGCTAGAGATGTAGCGCATCAAGAGATTTTAGTTGGTCTAAACCCCGGATTGGCATATAATAAATTAATGAACAAAACAAAACAAACCCATTCCCCCAGGCCGATCCCCAACCCACTGGCTATCCTTCATTTCAAGAGTCAGTGGTGATGGCATGAAAATCAAGTGCGGCTGACGAAAGAGGAGCTAGCTGGCTGACGTGTACTAAATGAGCCATCCCGTCCGTCTTGACGCAGCCAGGAACGAAAGCCAATAACACGTTAGCATCATTGGAAAAAAGGCCGAGACATGTCATTTTGATGGGGTTAGATACTGCAGGTGGCTTGGTGTACCTTGAAGAGCCGCTTCAGATCTGAAGCTCCTTGAAATACATGCACATTGCCATTCATTATATCTGAAGGTAACTCAAGCGATTTCAGACATCACAAACAAGTCAGAAGTTCAATCATATATAAAGGGGGGAGTCCATAGCTGGTATACGCACATTCTTCAGGCCGTATTGGTTCATCAAATCCAAATATTACTTCCTGCACAATATGCATACGGCCACGGTTAGTAACGCGCTGAAGAATCGCCCGGATATCGGTCGCGGGCATGTGCTTTGAAGCGTCCATCCTGAAGCCAGTGACACCAATTCGAGCGAGGCTATCTAGGTAGGTACCAATAGTATCGCGGACCTTGGTCGTCTCAGTGGCAAGATCAGCCAGGCCAAGCAGTTCGCAATTCTGGACCCTAATGATGTTCAATTTGTTGAGACCTCAGCGAGCGATAGGAGATAGCAGGATGGTCAACTTACTCGTATCGATCGGTGTAATCGGAAATGTGATCGTTCCCATTGCGTCCACCTACATTTTATGAGTTCCATGAAAAGTTTGCAATCATAATAGAGCCTCGGAATACGCACAATGATGAAAGTCGTGATAGTCATAAATCTTTGACAAGAGTGACCGGTATCAGCAATTATAGAGTCACATGTCTTTTATTTGAGGTCCCTTCACATACATCGTCATATGAATAATGTGAAAAGGAAGAGCCTGACGTTCCAAAACCCTCTGGCCGACCACTCGTCATATGATTGACCACCCTTTAATGCAAAGAGAGAGAGAGATGGATGTAAGCATTGAATGTAAGACTCGAAGTGAATCAAACGCAAACGTTTCGATACGTACGCGTCCACAATAACTCCTACTCCTGCCGCATTACAGCGATTGACCATCTCTACAAATTGTTGAGGCGAGCCACGTTTGGAATTCAAAATGTAGCTGACTGGCTGCACGTCCTGTCAGTGAGTGGCACCGGTTTCCTTCCACATATTTCGGTTTAGTGGAAATCATACCTGATAGTCCACCCACCATTGTGGTCCCCTGATGTGTTCTTGAGGAGGGGAGACCTGAACCCATCGATAGCCTGCAGGTGCAAGATGTGACTCGCACTCGTTCGCTACGTCAATATGAGGCCATTGAAATAACTGTTGTTGGTAAATGGTCAGAGGGTAAGCAAAGCATAAACTTTGAATTGTAACTTGAGAGACGCTGCTGACCTGAACAGTTACATCGCGACGAAAGCTTTCCGGCGAGCGATAAAAAAGACCACATCCCAGCGTAAGAAAGCTCAAGATGGCCAGAAATCGATGCCGTACGTTGGTAGGAATGCCAGGAGCTAGAAAAAAGAGACCAGCGATGAGCGGTCCGCCCAATAGCCGAAGCCTTGGATAAACTCGTATCGCACTCGCGATCGAAGAAGATAACATTCTCGCTCACGTCTAACTTCATTTGTGCTTTGCCCTCGATGACCCAGAGTTGATGCTGAAAACCGTCCAACCATGTTTTGGAGCTTGGGTTTACAACAGAGACATCGCTCAATACATATTTACAAACTGTAATTTAGCTACATATGAACGATTTGCCAAACTTCAAACCGTCGCTTGTTTTCACCCCAGCTTCCATTTGGACCGGAACCCCAGCGCACTCAGAAAGTGGGTACAACCAAGGAAATGATATATGTAGTAGACAGAGGAGACGTCGGAAATGATATCCTTCCGACACAAGGAGGGTCTGTTTCTCTTTTGTAGTAAGTATCACGGTTTTTTGGCACCATGCCACCCGGGCTTCTTTATTTTGGTGTTGTTTGCTCACTCTCTCACTCCTTATAGTCGTGAAACATCAATCACTTTTCAAAGCGCCCTACGAGCATAGAGGCTTGGGCAAGTTCGCAAGATGCCCGAAGGCTTGGATATCTTATATTTGCTTTTGATTACATTCATATCTCAAATACGAAATTATGCAACTACTTAAAAAACTCAAGAAACGAAAGAAACTATATACAAGCTAAAATTAAATTGTTTAAGAGTATAAGGCTTTTTTGATAGATTTTAATAATAATTTAGATTGAGTGTCACCAGCAGCATCAAAGATATTTATTCCAGCTAATCCTTTAGATTTCGCAAATTTTGTTTTTTCAGCTAATGAGTCTTGATCATCATATGCAATCAAAAGCTTACTGGTTGGATTGAAGAGAAGTGGCTAAAAAGTTTCGAAAACAAAAATAAGAGTTAGTATTCTGCATTGATCAAAGAGAGAAAAGAAATGAGAGAAATAAAACTTACGGTATGTGTGCAATTATCATAGTGTCTTTCGAAGCCATTAAGACCAGTCGTACCATCTGAAGAAAGGAATCCACAAGTCATCAAGTCTTTAAAAACAAAATTACCATCATCAGTAGGGCTTCCACAGCTTGTAGGGGTTTGTTGTCCATTCTTGGCTCCTTTTCCCTGTTTAGATTGGTCAATAGAACCAAAGAATAAACTAGTTTGATCAGTTTTGTCAGAAAAATGAGTGACATTTAACTTTGAAGTCTCAAGTTGATATTGATAACCATAACTTGGGATTCCTAAAAGGATTTGAGAAGCTGGAAAACCGGTTGAAGTCCAAGTTTGAATGGCTTGATCGACTGAATACTTCATACCAGGATCATTGCAAGTATCGAAGAGAGGTGCGTTTGGACCTACCACAGGCGTACTAGAGGGACCATAGAGATCGTAAGCCATGATAGTAATAAAATCCAATACTTTTGCGTATGATTTATGATCTTTTAAATATTCACCATCTGAACCCATAAAACCATGAACTGAAACAGCTGCAGAGATACGAGATTGAGGACCGAGTTCAATTCTTAAAACTTGAAGGAATTTTAAAAAGTTGGCCGAATCATCTTTCGAGATTTGATTTCCATCTTGACCTGGTACATTTGGATATTCCCAATCAAGATCGATTCCATCAAATCCATACTTCTTGATCGTCTTAGCAATATTCTTAGCAAACGATTTTCGATTAGAATCACTAGAGACCAATGAACTAAAGTAAACACTGCCAGTCCAACCACCAAGGGTAAGTGAGATGGTGACATTGTGAGATTTTCCGGCTTTAACGAATTCTTTCAAGTTTTCTTCATCTTCGATTTCTAATTCAGCTTCAGGGCTAGAAGGGCTTTTTATAACGAAATAATCAAGGTGAGTGTAATCTTCCCAAGGAATCTTTCCCACTGGTAAAAGATCGGAATTGTAACTCTGTAAAAAAAACTCAATGTCAGTCACATGCGCATATATGAGATCAAGTGTGAGGTTTCAACTTACGGGGTAATACGCGGCCAAGGTTAATTTCGTGTTAGATTTCTTTCGGCATACGCCAGCGTGAGTTCGAAGAAATGATGCGAGCAAGATGAATGATAGGAGCGCGAGTTTGGATTTGGAAAGTTGAGCGGGCATTTTGGAGTAGACTTCAAAATAGTTAGTAGCTTCTTGTCTGTTAAAAGGTATGGTGGTTCGTCGATCAGTGGTGATGGAAGTTATGCGTCAATTTGCGTTCTCAAAGCTGGAGTGATGATGATGAGGCCAATATACCTTGACGAATGCCAGGTCCTTATATACTCTTGAAGGAACTTTTCCCATTGGGCTGATGATGAAGAGTTCAGCTCGTCTCAGTCCTTGCACAAGTGCATTTCTCACAAATTACATACTTTTAGGCTTTTGTCAGGATTAAAGTTTGATTGAAATCAATGTTCTCCCTGATTTTGAGTGGTGACATTTGCTCAGCACTACTCAAATCGGTCAGTCAAGTAAAAGCTAGCAGAGAGGGATCATAGCAGATGAGCGGATATGGTCAGAACATCAAGCGAATCTTGGATCAAAAGCTCTGAGTATCATTTGATTCAATCATTCAAAAGTCAATTTGCTTGAAAGGTGCCAATCATTTCTGATCGATTTGATTTCTTTGTCTCATTTCTCATTTCTCATTTCTAGTGACTGGTGAATGGTGACTAGTGACTAGTGACTGGTGAATGGTGAATGGTGAATGCGATGAAGTGAAAATGAATTCAAAAGCTCAGAGGAGGGTTTAAGGTTTGATGATGTCATTTGGTACCGGTAAGTTAGATAACCGGTGGCTGGGATTGGTGATGAGATAATCTTTCACGTGTTCAAGGCTTTCTTTACATGTTTACCTCATTCATTGATTGAGGATCAAGCTGTTTACCATTGATTACCATCACTTCATCAAGTAACTCATCAAGTCAATTCAAACAGAAAGAATGTCAACTAAAACATCAACTCCACTGGCTATTCATCTCATAGCTGGTGGTACGGCTGGGTTCGCAGAAGTAAGGATATCATACTCTCATTATATATATATCTCACTTCTTCACTAACATCCAATCTCATCATGATTCATAGGCATGTGTCTGTCATCCTCTGGATACTATCAAAGTCAGGATGCAACTCAGTAGAAGCAAACAGGTAAATTACATCATATCAATCACTGTCCCAAAACTTCAAACTTATCCGATCATTCATCTTTGATCAGGGCAGAGGTCGGGGGTTTATCAAGACTGGTATGATGATTGCACAGAAGGAAAGTTTCGCGGGTCTTTACAAAGGTCTTGGTGCCGTGATCTCAGGTAAGACGCCTTAACAACCCCCTCATTCTTCGGTCTATCCTTTGACTAACTGATACAAATATCATTCAATAACAGGCATAGTACCCAAGATGTCTATCAGATTTGCCTCCTTTGAGGCTTACAAAGGTTGGTTAGCCGACAAACAGACTGGAAAAGTATCATCCAGTGCCATCTTCCTTTGTAAGTCGAAAACAAAAATCGAATTCCCGCACTCGTTCCTTTCTAAAAGATTTACTTATTTTCCACTCGTGATTGCCCGCGCTATCAGCAGGATTAGGAGCGGGAACTACTGAGGCCGTAGCGATTGTCTGTCCAATGGAAGTAGTCAAGATTCGATTACAGGCTCAGATGCATTCAATGTCTGACCCTTTGGATATTCCCAAATGTAAGTCCGATGATTGGTCCCTCGCGAATCATGTGAGGTAGCTGCTGATCAATTGATCTACATTCTATTTACGCAGACCGTAATGCTGGACATGCCCTTTACTTGATTTTGAAAGAAGAAGGTCCACGTACCCTCTACAGAGGTGTAGCTCTAACGGCGCTCCGACAAGCAACTAATCAAGCCGCAAACTTTACGGCTTACACGGAATTGAAGGCACTCTGTCAACGGATCCAACCCAAGTATCATCACGCTGAATTACCTTCTTATCAAACCATGGTTCTCGGACTCATCTCAGGTGCTGTGGGGCCTTTCACCAATGCACCGATCGATACTATCAAGACTCGGATCCAGAAATCCACTGCTACTCAGGGTGAAACGGCTTGGACGAGATTGAAGGTTGTAGCAACTGAGATGTTTGTACAAGAAGGACCCAAGGCTTTTTACAAGGGCATCACTCCCAGAGTCATGCGCGTGGCTCCCGGCCAGGCTGTGGTCTTTACTGTACGTTCTGTCGATTGTAATCCTCATTGTGTTTAGCCGTTCTTCGACGTGAGCTAAGCTCGCAAACATGTTGATCGGTTTTCTAGGTCTATGAGAAAATGAAAGGTATCATCGAAAAGCTAAAGGCAGATATGATAGAATACAAGGGATGAAGGCATGACTTATCAGAGTCAAACTCCAAGAATTCGTTTACTGAATCGATCAATCGGCCTCCTCAGTGAAGCCCAGCTTGTAAACTTTTCATCTCTGTTGATGTTTGAGTGTCCTACTTCTTCGTCGTCTTTGATTCTTCGCAAGTTCTGTAGCATAATCTTTCAATTGACTTTTCTGATCGCATTTTGTGCTTTTCATTTCCGGTTACGAGTAGTATCATTTGTAGATAGACGGCTTTGCATCTTTTATGTATTGGAACTTGTGTTGCATCGATTGGTATATTTGATCTTTCTGATTATGCTGTGATTCCTGTTAGTTAGCTTGTAAGTTTTAGTTTGTTTGTAAAATACATTTTGCGTTATGATTTATAGAAGGAGGTCAGAATTATATGATTGGGATGAGTGCCTGTTAGTGCTTGAACCTCGTAAAGAAAGACAAGCAATGATTATAGATGAGGAGAGCTTTCCGGGTGGACAGAGATACCCTCACCTTTTGGGCGATTGATGTGCAAGGGTTTTGAAAAAAATCTGTACAGAAAACCTAAATTTTTGTATTTTGAAACCAACAAAAGCTTTCAGACTGGAAACCTCACACTTCCTTAACTTTTGCAGCTCACACTTCATTCATATCCACAAGAACTGACTCCTGAAGATGTTATTCAGACGATCTGATGCACGTACCAATCTCGATATTCGACCTCTTACGATTTCACTCTCAACACTTTCAAGAGCTGATGGGTCTTGCAACTTCGCTTTTGGTAAGATATCAGGGTTATCTCAAGTCTCTTCACTTCACTTCCTGAAATTCATCATTTGCTTCTTATTTCGTTTTAGGTGACTTGAAAGTCTTGGGTGCAATGACTGGACCAGCTGAAGTTAAAGTATGGGATGAGAAACCAAAACATGCGACTGTAGAAGTTAACGTTCTTCCAATATCATCCTTACCAGGTTTTTATCTTTGACTTTGTTTATCTTGCGCGTGGAAGAAAATATTTGACTAAGCTTGCTTTGATTTTTTTATTTATTTTACAAAATTAGGACCTTCCAGTAAATCAAGTGCTCAATCAATCAAATCTTTCATTAGTCCGATTATTTATCTTGAACAATATCCAAGATCTTTAATTCAAATTAATCTACAAACCCTTTCAAAACCATCCGAAAGATGGTCAAGTACAAGAAAACCTTCAAGATTAGGATTTGAAGAAAACGAAAGTATATCAGAAAGAGCTGCATTGATGAACGCAAGTAGTATAGCATTATTAGATGGTGGGGTAGGAATGAGTGGGGTAGGTATTGCTGTTGCTGTAGCTATAGTCAAGAGTGAGTTAGTTCAACAAATTGGAGAAGACGAAGATCGTATGAAAGAAGATGAAGATCAAGAGTGGGTAATCCTTTTGGATCCAAGTCCAAATGAAGAAGCACAAGCTACAAGCCTACATCTGATAGGATATCAATTCGGTTCTCATCCAACTCCTTCAAATCCTATAATCGATAACGTCAGACAAAGTGAACCTACACTGTGCTTTTGTGAATCTTATGGATCGTTCGATCAAACTCAGGTAAAGAAAATCCAACATCCATATCAATTCCGATGATATCAATTTTTGACACTCTTTTTTATGATCTTTGATTTCAAGCTTAAGGGGGTTTTCGAAGTTTCACAAACAGGAATTGCTCAGATTTACTCATTGATCCGTACTAGTCTTGAACATCAATATCTTCAAACTCTAAGCCGCCCAGGCACTTTAAACCCTTCTAGTTTACCACCACCTCCCTCAACCGCATCAGCACCTAACACTCAGACAACAGATACTACAAAACAAAAGAAAAAGAAAAAGGACAAGACAAATAATTAAGATGAAACTTTTTTTGCATATGTAGATAGGATATCAAGTCGTGTAGATATATAAGCGAAGAAGGACATACCTCCCCGGGGGGTTACCCACAATAAAAATATACAAAAAAAGGAAACATACTAAATGATGAAGAGAAAGTAAGAGAAAGAAATGAAATCAAGTTTTAGAAATCGCTTCTACTGCTTCTTCACCATCTTTGATTAATTCTTTTGCCTTTAAGAGTTCTTCTGTACCAGCCCATTCTTCTTCATGTGCACCCTGAATGAATGTGAAAAGAATTCATTAAATTAATCAAGTCAGAATACGAAGTATCAAAAGGATCAAGAAAAACATAAGACTGACAACCAGTTCTTGAAGTTCAACTAAAGATTTTGAAAGTCGTAGTTGAGCATCAGGTATCATTTTTTTAGTTTCTTCAATCACTTCTTTCTATTTAAATAATCCAAAAACTTATCAGTATATCTATCACAAATAACAAGTAACAAAGAACCATAAGAAAGTAAATCATTTAACTTGTTTTTTTAATTTCCATTCATAATCTTCATCACCTTCTACTTTTTTAAAACCACTCAAAGCTTTAGTTTGTTCAATTAATTCTTGACGATACGATTTTTCTTCAGCTATCAATCTATACACCACCCAAAAGAATCAACCCAAAATCAATTATCAGTTTTTTGTTACATGGGGGTTTTCTCAAAAGATCAAGATTATCGAACCGTTTGAGAACACCTGTTTTGATTTTCAGTTGCTGAGTGGTCATTCTTTTGAATAACTTTCTCTGAAGCTGAGTTGAGTTCTTTTCAATGCGAATATGATCGTATGGATTCTTGAGACTTGAAGGTTTCTTGTTGACCTTCTTGACCGTTCTTGACGTCAATCGGATTATCGAGACACCGATGATCGGATCTGACCCGATCGGATAATGAAAGAAACCTCTTGAGTCTTCAAGCCTTTTGAGTTCAATTGTCATTCAGATTTCACAAATAAAACTCTGCTGTACCAAACAAAAGACAAACCTTTGCAAACCTTTGTTCTGAGTTGAATGCGTTACAAAATTCTCCTGGTGTATCTAGCCGCTATTAGCAAGTTCTTTCCTACCTCTTAGGTTATATATAACCACTCTTCAGTATCTCTACAACGATGTGTTTAGGAGATATAAGAAATTTCACCTTCCTTGATCTTGAGCAATTTTCAAAAGGATTTCAAGGGACTCAAAAAATGAGTAAAATCAAGTGGTGCCTTCACATTTATATCATCTTCAAGTCATAATCACATCAGCAAATGGAATATGTAATATATCAATCAAATGAGATTGATCATCATTCTTTAATTGGGAATATCATTACTTTGACTTGCTTAAAATTTTTGACTTCTTTCTCACATTCTCAAGATCATATTTGGTTTTTTGTCCAAAAATAAAAATTTAAGCAATTCATTCATGCCCTGCTTTCTTCACCACTTGAGTTCCATGTAGGGCCCAGTGGTCCAGGATGGATGCTTTTACATAGTTTAGAGTGCTCATATCCTCTTTGACTGTTCTACTGAGAAAGTTTTACAAAATGAACTTGATTTTTTCATGTACTCATTTCAATCATTGACCTTTATGTGATTGTTCATTGATCAAAGGTAATGTAAGATGCTGGTGTTCCAGCTTTAAGGGATCCCTTGAATCACTTCATTTGCAAAATGATCATAATCAAAGTGATATAAACCCAGGTCCTTTAAGCAAACCTCAAATAATAGTACAGGACTTCAGACCTCTTCAAATCTTCAAAAAAATTCACATAAAATTTCATGATAATAAAAAACACCAAATTCACAATGAAAAATCAACTCTTTAAATACTTTTCTTTTTTTATAAAAATTCAAACAAAACCAATGGAATGAAAAAATTAAATGTGGCAATTGTTAATTTTTATTTTATGAAAAGATTTCAAATGTACAATTAAGCTTAAAAGAAAAAAAATCATCAAGAAAACAAAATCAAAGGAAATATGAATATAAAAATTGAATATAAAATTAAAAATGAATCATGATCAAGGCAAAAAAATAAAAATGTAAAAAATGTAAAAAATGTAAAAAATGTAAAATGAAAGAAAAATGAAAGAAAAATGAAGAAAAGAGTCATGAAATGAAATTCAATCTATTTTTGTTCAAAAATAAAAAAACATGAGCCTTCTTTCAATCAATCAATCAATCAATCAATCAATCAATCAATCAATCAATCAATCAATCAATCAATCAATCAATCAATCGATCAATCACTATCACTATCATCAAACATAGTTAAATCAATCATCACCACTTCTTCTTTCTTCTTAATCGGTTTTTCATTTGAATTTGAATGAGTGACTTGATTAGCTAATCCTTCAGTTTTAATTCGTTTTGAAGATGAATTTCGATTGGTTTCTAAGCTTGGTTTCTTAGATTCTACATCATCATCTAGATCAATTGAAATATATTCAATTGGTTTTTTAGGTTTCTAAGTAACAAAATACACAAATTGAAAACATAAGTCATCTTTGGTATAGGTATTTTTTTTGGTTTAGGTTTTCAAGGAAATTAAAAAAAGATCCTCAACTTGTTCATCAACTACATCTGATCTAGTAGAAGGACCACCAAGATCAATCCGATCTAAATAAGAACCATGTCCGTGTCCAACTGTTGAAACGTCTTCTTTGAGCTTTGAGGATCCACTTATGACGCGTTTCTTTGAATCTCCATTCGAAGGGTTCACACCAGGAGAAAGAGGACGTGGTGGAGGTGGAGGTGGAGGTGGTCCAGCTTGTTTGACAATGATACCTTTGGCTTCGAGTACTGCTTTACTACTATATTCAAAGATGAACTACGATTAGAAACAAAACAATTCAAGTCAGTGATCTACAAAGATATCTTGATATGTAAATGACCGGTGCAGAGAAGATCGTCTCGGATGAAACAAGTCAGAAGATGTAGGAAGAAGGTAAATCTGTTGAACAAGTAAACACAAAGGTTTGAAGTGAAAAAAATGAATGAAACTTAAATTGGTATGAAAAAGTGAAATCAAAAACTAAACTTGTAAGAATGGATTTTTATCTTTCCATTCAACTGATCTCACCGAACGTTTAGTTCCATTAAAAGCTGAAGCTCGATTCCCATTAGCCACCACACTAGCTTCACTTAATCCAGCGGTATCACTTAACAAAACTTTTTTAGTTCTTTCTGAAAAGGTCATTTGATTAGTAGTTTTTAAATCTTTACCAGGTCTACGATTATTATGATGATTATTGTTATTGGAATTCGAATGACGAGGATTGATAGGTTTCTTTTCACTTAAACGACATCTAACGATATCCACTTTAATCGTACCTAAAGCTTGACAAATCTTTTCATCCATACAAATCTTAGATTCGATTTTTTCATTTTGATTTCCTTCAATCGGATCATCCGGATCAACTAAAGTAAGTTTAGCAAACTGAAACTTTCGACTTCTACCATCATCTGTAAAACATCCAGAGATTCGAGTCGGACCACGTTGAGATCGATGACGTTTTGATCTTTGAACTTCAACTCCATCTAGTGTTATAAAAATTAAAAAATCATCCATCTCTTCTGGTGATTCAGGTCGATGAGCCAATGAATATGAAGTAGGTTCTAATTCTACATTGATTTCAAATGTCGTATCTGGTGTGGATTCAATTGTGGCGATTTGTTGAATAGCACCTGTGATGGAAGATGAAGCTAAATGAACATGATGTTCTTGAGCTGGTAAACCGACTGGATGAGTTGGATGATCGAGTGGATAGATTGAACAAGAGATATTGGTGGGTCGATGATAAGGCATGATAGATTGATTGATTTGGTAAAGTGGATGGATATTTGAAAGTTGAAGTTGTAAAAATCGAATGGTCTGAGACTGGAATTTAGTAAAAAATCAAAAATCCGTTAACCGGATTCAAGCATTGCTATTTCTCAAATCAGAAACAAAAGACAAGAATCAACGACTTACCCAAAAAAAGTATGAGTACAAAGACAATAAACCAATTGGCCAATACAAATTACGTTGATGAAAAGAAAAAAAAAGCAAACTAGTCTAAATTGACAGTGACTGATTGAAAAACAAAGATCTTATTGCTAGCTGGCACCTACAGGCTACCAAATTAAAATCAGATTAAGTCTTGAAGTCTTGAAAAAAATGACCAATTTCAGATTCAATTGAATTTTGAACACTTCTATTCAAAAACAAACAAAAGTGCAAAGTGAATTCATCATAAGATATTAAGCTAACAAGATATCAAGGAGGATTCATACCCAATCACATCCCAGAGCTACCTTGCGCCTTGTACTCCAGCACTGATTCATAATCAATCTCATCCTATAAATCTAGTCACTCTCCTCTCTGTACATAGATCATTCTGAGAATTTCTTTGAGACTCCAAGTAAGGGTCATTAGAACATTATCCATCTTACCCGGACTCCTGGAGAGATCAATCAAGGGATACCTCCCACCACCACGAAGTATATGTTGACAATATGCCCCTTCATCGACCTTAAAGGAACTCGAGATGTTGGAAAAGCAATCCTCAAGGAGACCAAGTCTCAAGTAAAGATAGATTGCTTCAGGTTGGACGGTCTCTCATCAACTTATCATAGTTGTCAGTCAGACACATCAGCTGGCTTGATAATCACCAAACACACTTAGGAAAACAAACAAAAACATAATTGAGATACTGATTCACAACACCAGCCTACAAGGTATACAAAATCATATCATGTATGGTATTATTTTCAACAAATTGACAAACAAAAATTGAGTGGGGAGTTTTTTTTTCGTCCTTCCGTTTTGGGTGTATAGTTCATAGTAGAGGTCTAAGGTATTCGTGATTTCAATCAACAAAGTCGATATATCGATATATATCTCAACCTCAAATTTCCCCTCAAATTTCTTTTTCATCTTCCAGAAAGAAATTGAAGAAAATAGTAAAATCGAAACAATCGAAAATCAAACAGTAATAAAACACCATCAAGGCTATAACAAAGGAAACATCAACAAACTGTACCAAGAGAATGGTCAATTGAAGACAGAGGAAACATACTTTTAAGCAGTTTGAGGAAGTTTAGAACCTATCCAAGCCATCATATCTTCAATCTCCTTTGGTGAGGCACTGTGGGTAAGACCTAGATGGTCGAAAACAAAGAGAATTGATAAGCACCAAGATGATAATAAAGTCAAGTATGATGAGGTAATTCACCTTGATAAGTTTTGAAGTCAACACGTTTCATCCCCAAGGTTTTAACCAAGAAGTCAACCGATTCTTGTCCCCAATCATACCTATACACAAGAAACCAATCAAAAGTTAGATAGAGATGAAGCTTGAGCAGAAAGAGTAGAACGAACCTAACTAATGGATCATCTGTTCCATGACCCCAAAAGACTGGTAAACTGACCGAATGAGGTTTACGAAGCTATTTCAGTCAATTGTCAGAGATGAACTCTTGGCACGTTGATTGAACGGTTTGTATGCTTGAACTAACCTGTTTAAGTTGATCTGCTAGCTGTAGGAAGCCTGATAACGAGACCGCTCCTGCTAGCTTGTGTGGACTGGTAAGACCGGTCAAGATTCCGATAGTCGCACCTGGGTATCCAAAGAGAATGAAGGTCAGACAATGCAAGATGTAGGTTGAAATGACAGGACTTACCTTGTGAGAAACCACCGACGATAATTCTTTCAGGTGGAATACCATTATCGATCTCACGTTGAACGTATTGGTTGATAAGCTATTTCAGATGATCAAATCAGCCTTATGAAGTCAAGATGATAGGAATAGTATGGCTGATTCAACTGACTGCAACACTTTCTAATAGACCTTTTTGATCCTCTGGAGCTGCTGGATCAAGTGCGACGATATCAAACCTATGAATCGAATCGAATTGGGTGGGATTGCATCGGATTAATTGGAGTTGGATTGATCTTCCCGGTACGACTAGAACAAGCTCACCATGATGGCATTTGAAGACCCCCGTTGAGTGTGACTGGTTGAACGGGTGCATCAGGAAGTCTGAACAGACGAACGAACAGAACATTAAATGGTGAATTGAAATGATATGTATTGCGAATAATCTCAATTCAACTTACACCCTATGTAATATGGTAAACAGATCGACTACAATCAGTTGGATGTGTTGAATGCTCTATAAATCAAAATGAATAGGAACAGACCATTTGATCCAAGGCATACGAGAATGAAATTGTTCGACTAAGAAAGTCCAACCTCTTGAAGTATCACCTAAACCATGACTGAAGATCACAACAGCAGTTTTCTTTGTAGTGTTAGAGCTCATCTTATGGTTAGTTTTTTGATGATGATGATGATGAAGTGAAAATGAAGAAGATGGTAAATTGGATGGTAAACTAGAAGAAGGTGATCTGGGTTCGACTTCTAAAACTGATAAGTATGGCTTATAAAAGATTAAGACTAAAGTAAAGAGTAAGATGAGGATAATAAAAGTTAAAGAACGATGGATCATCGGATTTAAAAGGTTTCTATGTAAATAAAACTTTAAAATCAAATCTCAGTTTGGATCGCTGGCTTGCTTTGATTGTATGTAAACAAAAATCTTCAAGATTTCCTTCTGCTTCTTCTTAAACCGATCCTCATTTAAATTCAATTCACAAGCTTCATTGTCATATCCAACTTCGTCTTTATCAATTTGAAACGTGTTCAGTCGATAATTTATCCTATTAGACTTCACTCTATGCAATTCCCTTGATTGATCTTACATGTTGGCTTGAACTTCTTTTGGTTTTTGGTGGAACCCAAGAGGATTTAGAATATATCACTCGCTCAAATTTCCTCGTATCAAATATCCTCCTCAAGATTCCAGGGTGCCCTTATCTCGCTCTCTTATCAGCAAATAGCCGACAAACATGGGGTACTCACTTTATTTTAAGTGAGATTTATGTACCAGACAGGTGACGGAATGCAAAGTTAGAAACCAGTTTGTACAACGTGTTCAACCAAGGAATCTGACCATACAAACTTTTTGATATCATTATCAAACTACAATCAATTTTAAAATATTGCAACTCTCAATGGATCAAAAATGCACCACGATAGTCTGAGGGCCTTGAAGCCAAACAAACCGACGAGGTCATGTTCACAACCGAGAATACCCATCAATAGATATTATGTAAAAACAAAGTAGGGTTAGAAAAGCCCAACGAGCTAGAAGTTCCCTTCTTTGGGAGCATGAACCAAGTCGTTTAGAAATCAACCACAGAGCAATTCATAAACCAAATGGTTCAAATTAGGGGGTGTTCAATTTGTTGAAAAAAAAACAGGGATGGACCAGGTCTTTGACTCAGTCTCCAAGTTTATAACCAACAGTTATCTTCTTCTCAAATCAAGTATGTAACATTTTCACCAAAAAGAGCTCCGAAGAAACCAAAGGGTTGTGCTCCTATTTGCACCATCTTCTACCGTCTCTTGCATATAGCTTCTTGCAAAACTCGAAGGATTCACGAACTCTGGTCGTGTTGCCCCTGAAGATATAGACATTAAAGTTGCCAAGTGCTTGAGTGAGCCAGCATACTGAAGCCAGGACGACTTGCAACGCAAGATATCAAAAGTCGATCCGACGATGCATTGTTGTATTCTACTCTTATGGGAATGCGTGACGTGAACTGCCGAGATGAGGTCTCCATAGGATAGCTGCCGTATTCGAAAGTGAACACCCTTACGCAATCACATTCTGTGCCGATATCTAACGCAATATGTTGCTCTAACAATCTTTTGAATATTGTCCTTGTGACATTGCACGGTGATGAAAGAAGTACACGTGCTGCTGCCATAGATTGTGAACGTAACGCCTGGAAGTTGAACGTGACTTTACCTACGTACGGCACTCCTCCTGACTAGTCACCCGCAAGAGCTAGCCCTCAGAGCTTGATGACAATAGACAGAGCTCTACGTGGCGTCGCGATCAAAGCTGCGCTCCAAATCTGTGCTCAAAGACTTTGCAATTCTGACACCAGATTGTTGAAACTTCAAAAACAAAACTTGAGGTCGCTGCTTTGTCATGTCTTGCATTTGGTATACAAGAGTTTGAGGAAAGTTTCAAGATTGATACTTCAAATTCAAATAAAACCATTTTTGTGACAGAGGCAAAAATGATGCTCAAGCTTGATTGTTCTTGGAACAGAAATAATATTGAAACCAATCATAACAAGAATGCTTTGTACACCTCTCACACCTGCATTTCATCCATAATCAAGGCTGAAGAGATCAAAATGATCATAATCTCATTGCAACTACTTTCACTTCTGTTTCTTTTTTCTTTTATCAATTGCACAAGTATTTCCAAATGGGAACTAAGAAGTTTGTGTTCATTGACCATGCCAGAACCTCAGTTGATCTTTGACCTTGCTGACCTCCATTTAAATTCTCCTTTTGGTTTTGTCTCAGGTCCTGCCTCGGCTATGGGTTATGCCTATCATGCCAGGCCAAATCCCAATCATGATGGATATCATGGAACTGAATCCACTTGTCAACTCATCAGACTCCAAGACCTTCGTACTGCCGGACTCGAACCTACTTTAGATATTGAAGGATTTACTTATGTTTCTGGACGGCACATCCCTGAAAATTTGAGCAAGGATGGATACCAAGAATTAGTAGAAGCAGATTCAGTAGCCCTTGTAAAAAATCTGTAAGAGAACTTTTACTTGATTCTTCTCCAAGAAATCCAACAATGGTGAAAAGGAGACTTATGCATTTCAAAAAACTTAGGACTGGTGCAACATCAGCAATTGTCTTTGATACTACTTTTAGAGGGAATTTTGACAGTGAATCACGCAAAATAGTTCCAATCATTCACTCTGGTATGTCACCAGAAGGAGCTAAAATTCTCAAGGAACACTTCCAAGACCAATGGTTGAATTTGGGGGATACAGAGATGATTCAATTTGGAAAGTACTTAGAGAAGAATAAAGATTGTGCCATTGTGAATGTGTGGAGACCAATTCAAACTGTTGAAAACAATCCTCTAGGTTTGTGTAAATGGAATTCACTTGCAGAAGAAGATGTTTTGGATTTTGGAGTCAAACCACAAAGTGCCTCTACTACAGTTCAGCCATGGGAATATAAAGCACATCAAGAATGGTTTTACTTGAGTGAACAGAAACCTGATGAAGCTTATGTATTCATGCAACATGATAGTAGGGCAAAAGATGGGCATGGGATCAATGTTCCACATGCTTCCTTTAGAATGAAGGATGACAACCCTGAATCACATACAAGACAAAGTATAGAGTGTAGGGTAATGGGATTTTTTGAACCTCTGTCTGAATAGCCCATTGCTGCATCAATCTGATAGAAACACACAAGGGCAACAAGGATATTCAAAATATCTTGAACTCATCTAAACAAGCTGCCTGAAACATCCCATTGCTGTCATGTCACACATTACAATCAAGATTGTGGCAGGGGAGATACTCAATCACATCAAATTGTACATATGGGGTTGTTCTTGTTTCTTTCATTTCCTTGCCTACTATTATTGTTCTACTTGATATCTCTGTCTTGTGTCTATGTGGGGGCTTGTTCTGATATTTCTCTGGGCAAGGCATGAGGATCTATGCTTTTCTTTCCATTTTAATATCTTTGTTTCATTATCTCTTATATTTCTATTTTTTATCTCTGTTTATATATTTGAACCATGTATGTCTGAGGGTACCACCATGGCATAAACACACAAAACTTCTCATGACACACAAAAGGTCTTTCATTTTTGTCTTCAAACACTTGTGGAGTGAGTCCTTTTCTGCAAGAGGGGATTAACAAGACTAGAACACACCTTTTACACACCACTGACAGAATCTCATGTGTTCCTTCAACAGTTTTCAATTCAATTTCAAGGAAAAGGACAATGGAGAGGTTTTTGGGACCAAGTCCCACTTGATTTGGGTAGATACTCCTGAGCTTAGTGCAATTTTCTCACAACCAATAGATATGGCAGAGTGAATTACTCTGCTTTTACTGCAATTTGCCTGAAACTGTTTGACTTTTCTTATGAATCTTGCCTTGCGCTCACGCTACGGTGTTACCCTCATACATGCATGGTGTTTGGGTGCTTGTTCTGATGTTTATTTGAGCTTGGACTAATGCCAGCAACAATCACTGGTTGTCGAAAACTTTGAGGCTCTTAGCCACTTGCGTACCTTGCCTAGTGCTGTTCTTTTACAACTTCCACTTGCTGGATTTTGTGTCAACAAGAGCTGTAAGATTCTATGCTACATAGTCATCTGACAAAGTTAGCAAAGAATGCGTGGTTAATTGGGGTGCAATGAAAACTGGCCAATAGCATTTAGAACAAAATAAATTTTTGATGAGAAATCCAAATTAAAGTAATAAAGCACCAATTCCTTGATAAGCTCAAGACAACAACAAGGCTAAGCCTACAAATGTGATCAAGATCAATAGCAAAAAGACTAAAGATGTGCGTGTGTTGATGATCATGCTCTCAAGATGGTCAAATGTGTTAAGAGATATAAAGAGCGTGAGCAAGTTATCATTCTTCAACTTTTCCTTATATTCCCAAATGAGTTCAGTATAGCAACTCAATTATCACGAGACCAAAAAGAAAAATCTTTATCTGGACCAGATTCATAAGTTCTTGAAGCTTCCGCTGGTGAATTTTTTTGATTGATGACAAACTCGTCTTCGTAGGTTTCCAAGTCTATCACATGGTTTATTTTGATAGCGGTTTTATTTCATTTGCGGGATGGAAATAGGCATTCACATAAGATTTGGTTAGTTTTTTTTATTCAGAGGTGAAAACTACAAGCCTCTTTCACTGACTTTTGCTAGTAGTAGAACCTTCCTGGTCTGCAAACGTCACTCTTTTTTTGAGTTTTTTTGGAACTACTCTCGCTACTGAGCTGGTAGCGCCTTCTGCTGATTCAGTGCCGATGCCTGATATCGCCATTCCCCCCTTCGCCTGTTTTTCTAACTCATTGATTGAGCCTGGTGTTTTCTCAACGTCTGCCACTGAAGTTATCTCCATACTCCTCTTGACAAGTGAGCCCCGAAATGCCCAGAGGTTGGTGACTCCACTCCCACCTCCTTCTACCGCCTCTTGCATATAGTTTCTTGTAGGACTCGAAGCATCAAAGAATATATCTGATCGTGTTCTCTCTGAAGATAGACATTGAAGTTGCCAAGTGAGCCAGCATACTGAAGCCAGGATGACTAGCATAGCAAGATATTGAAAGTTTATTCGACGATGCATTGGATATTCTGCTCCTATGGGATTGCGTGACGTGAACTGACGAGTTGAGGTGGTTTTACTATGCGATAAGTGTCGTAGTTTCACCTGATACGTCTTTCTAGATTACGCTTTGTGGCGAATTCGAGAGGGCTTGTTGTTGTTGGAAATAGGGTGCTCTAACTATCCTTTGAATATCGTCTTTACGATATTGGCACTCTTGATGAAAGATGTACAGGTACTGCAACCATCAAAAGTGAACGTAAGGTCTGGCAATCAAATTGATATCGCCTACGTATTACACCCCTCCTGACTACGCTTGTCTGGCGATCGAGATATCATCGCCCCAGATAATATTATGCAAGGATGACATAATCGATACAATATTTCAGACGCCTCCACGGACTTGCCCTGATAACTTGATGACATTGAAACAGAGCTCTGCGTGGTAATCGAAGCTACGATTCGCATCTGCGCCCGCAGACTCGAATGTATCACCGGACATGTCCCCTGAATGTCCGGCTTGACCAACGCTGTGGTTGTATGAAAGCTATACCGCTGCTTTCTGAGTGGCTGGTCACAGCAAAAGAAGGGTGGCAGCAAATGCACTGGGCTCAAGGTTTACTGACCAATAAAAGTATGACAATCTTGCTCTGAGTTTGTTGGGATGTAGCACTGTTGTTGGGTTGAATTAGCAAACCTTGTTTCGAACCTCAGCTTAACCAAGCGCCTGTGTGTAAAGATAAAACTTGCTCATTCGGTTTTTTCATTGCATGGTAACACGACTTTATGTCTTCACCTGGCAGTTCCTGTTGTGATCACTCTCGAAATCGACCAAAGAACCTGTGATGAGAGAATTTCAAGCCAAAGACCTCCCGATTGCTGACGGCAGCTGATTCCGTCAGGGAGAATGTGTACGTATGACGCCTCCATTGGTACACCGCCAGTGATGTGGTATTTGGGTCGAATATAACCCTGAGGTGAGTTTGAGGACGATACTTGACGGACTCTCAAGCACAAGCCAATATTAGCTGATGATCAGACAAGTTCCAAGAAGCTTGCAAGTTGTGGTGAGTGTGCTAAGAGTCAAGGGCTCTTGTTAATGGATGTAAGCATCTCAGCACCCTTTCATGAGTGAGGAAGTCTATCATTTAGTTTAGAGCCGCCAACTAGGAAGAGGCACAGACAGAAGTGAGGAATGACATCACAAGGTCGCACATTTGGTTGATCTTCAACTGAGCTTTACCTTTGAATACGACATGTGCCAATTGTGAAAGGCACAACGCGAAAGTTGACCCCGACGCGTCGGGGCGGGACTGATGGCGCGCTCTGATTGGTCAGGAATTTGTTACATGTGCAGACTTTTTGTATGTAGCAAGATTGTTCTGTTTAGAACTGGAGTCCTCTGAGATCATGAAGACCACTAAAGAGTTTACCAAAGACTTGCCAAAGCCGGTGATGGGAGATGGTCTTTTGGTCTCAACCTCATAGGATAGAAGGCCTGAACGAGGAGTCAAGATATCAGCCATCAGTCTATGAGCTGAACAACAAACAAAGGGAAAATCAAAGGCTTGCCTGAGTTCTTTTGTGAAAGGGTGATTCAAAAAAATAATTAAAATGAAATTGAAATTGTAACTCAGTGATGAGTTACAAGACTGCTATCAGCAATTTTTCTAAGGCAAAACTCATCAGCTTTTCTGAGCTCAAAACACTTTGTACACTCCAACCAATCAGAGCGGCCCCAGGCGCTGAAGGATAACTTGCGCATTCAGAAGTTAACCCCCCCCAAAGCTGAACTTTTCGCTATAAAAACTGCTTGCTCTTCTTCCAACTCGCTTCTCCCGCTCTTCCCATCCTTCAAATCATTTTAAATTTTTCCACTCGTCCAACTTATCATCCTAAAATCCTAAAATCCAATCCTCTTTTTTAACATGGCCCGTACCAAAGTAAGATCCTTCGTCTTCCTTTTTCGTTTCCTTTCCCTCTTTTTTCTCCTATCGATTCGGTCTTTCTTGTCCTTTCCGATTACAACTGTCACTCTCTATCTCCTCGTTCTTCATTCTGCTACACTACATATCACCCTACTCTTTTTGTTTGTGTTTACTTTCGTATCTTACACTCCACACTCATGTAACCCATTACTCTACTTCGCCACCGCCTCATACTACACTTCGTCTATCATCTGTTCTCACCTACTCGTCTCCGTTTCTAACACTACCCCTCCTTATCTTCGCATTTCATCAACTCTGCCGTAACTCTACCGGCCCTACTGTACATGCACTACATAACGTTTTACTGCACCTCATCACCAGTACCCTTCGCTCGCTCATCGTTTCTCTGTCCTCACCTCATCTTACTCCACTACTCACACCCATTTTCATCCACTTACCTTCAACATTCATCTGACCATGTTCGTCTTCCTCTCCTTTAGCAAACCGCACGTAAATCCACCGGTGGTAAAGCACCCCGAAAGCAACTCGCTGCCAAGGCTGCCCGAAAGTCCGCTCCTACTGCGAGTGCCGGAGGCGTCAAGAAGCCTCACCGATACAAACCTGGTACCGTCGCTCTTCGAGAAATTCGAAGATACCAGAAGTCTACTGAGCTTTTGATCCGCAAACTCCCGTAAGCATCTCTTATCTATCGTTCTTTGTCGCTTAAGCTTATCATTATGATGTCCGATTAGATTTCAACGTCTTGTTCGTGAGATCGCTCAAGACTTTAAGACCGATCTTCGATTCCAATCTTCTGCTATCGGTGCTCTTCAAGAGTCGGCCGAAGCTTATCTTGTCTCGTTCGTTTGCTTTTCTCTATCATCCGTCTATTGTTTATGCTGATATGCTGATATCGTTACCATTTTCGAACTTCAGGCTTTTTGAGGACACCAACTTGGCGGCCATTCACGCCAAACGTGTAACCATTCAACCCAAAGACATTCAACTCGCTCGTCGCCTCCGAGGTGAGAGATCGTGAGGATGAAAATGTGACACCTGTTGCTTTCGTAAGTTACTCAACCTTTGATCAGTGTTTCATGACAGCTTCTAATCCATTCGATGATCCAACTATGTAGTGTCTTGTCACGCCTCATCTTGTCTTGGCTGAGACCAATGCGTCGCCTTCATGATATCATTGTCACTATTTTGTTTCTGCTCTTTTCCTTTTTAAGTTTTTTGTTTTAGTCTATGATGCCTGTTTTCCGCTATGACCAACGTTGTAATCAAGACGATCAAACGCGGAAGCATCAACATCTATGCTACTATCCCTTATTGTAGTCGTTGATGGCTGACTGCGTTTTGTAAAAGAAAAATGTCTGGAAGCTCGCAATTGTATACCACATGAATTGATCATTTGATGTTGTATGATGCTACGCACAATCGCACCCAAACATGCAAGTTACTCCTGACATCAGCCGATCAAACATGATCTTCCTTAACGTTCCCTCCCCCAGACTCGTGTTTGATTATTGTGTTGAGGTAGGCAGGTTCGCCTCTGAGAAGTGTTTTAGGACCGTGTTCCTGATATGTAGACTTTGCATGCCTTGACCCTCATGAGATGCGCTCAAATCGATGCGCTTACCTCTCTAGCCCTAGCTCAACACATGACCCAGCATCCGGCTTAAGTTGGCTTTCAGCCCTTTGATCAGACATTGATCGAAACTCGCATGTCCCCAATGGGTGCCACTGGGAATATACTGTGATACCAAGCTGATTTGATGACTGTTATCAAGCAAACGAATTTAAAAACTGGACATCAATGTAGAATCAGAATTACTTGAAGGTCTACATTAGATTGACATTGGATACAAATGAATCACATCATCTTCATCCAACTCAAGCAAAACCTTTGGTTACAGTTTTAAAAAGTTTTTTTTATTTGAGTTTTTTCTTCTTTATTGAGTTCTATCTATCGAGAGGCGAAGTAATCGTAGCAAAAAAAATAGAGAAGGTTTGAAGGAAACACGAGTCATCATTGAGAGATGAAAATAAAGAAAGAACTAGTAGTACTACTAAAAGAAAACCTAAAGTAGAGAATTCGAATTCCAGACAATTCAAAGAAAGAGAGAGAACACACAAAAAAAGGATGGGGTTGGGGTTTTCTTGAGTTAAAAGAGGGTGTACAAATGAGAACAACATGCGGAATTAGTGAGAAAGGAAGAAAAAAACACAACATCATCAGGATGAAATTTACAATTTATAAGAAAAAAGGAGAAGATCGATTTGGATTCAGTGGGTTTATTTGAGGTTCTCGATTTGAATGATTAAGAAACCTTTCTCGTCATTGAATTGTTCGTCTGTTTGAATGAAAAAAAGAAAAAGAAGAATAAGAAGCACAAACGATTAGAAGATGATAGATAGAGGTATGAAGGATTTTTATAGAAAAGAAAGAAAGTCTGGAAGGTAGTTTACCATCTTTGTCATTATGAAAACCTCGAAGGAATTCGATTAGTTTTTCTTTATTCCGTCGTAGGATAGCTTCAATCGGTAATGGTTTACGTGGATTAGCAACGAAGACCTAAAGAACATCAAAATTTAAAAAGGTTTGAGTATAGTGATATCTAATTGTGATGAAAGAAAGTGAAGGGGTTGAACCTTGAAGACATGAAAGGCTTCGAATTGAATGTTTTTCGATTTATCTTTCAAGAGATTCATCATGATTTTCAAATTATCTTCATTTGAGATATATTTATTCATGACATTATAATTAGATCTGTCTAATAAGATTTCGCCTAATAATTTAATCGATTGTCGTTTCGTAACGTAATTTGTTGATTGGATTAGAGAAGAATACATTCCAAAGAACTGGATCAAGAGAAGATCAAGTCAGATTGGTTCAGTAAGTTGAGACACAAAAGAAAAAGAGATAGATAGAAGACGAAACTTGATCATAGTTATCTTCCAGAAATGCCGAGACCATTGGTTTATGACGTGTTAAACATTCTTTGAAACTTGACATTGCATCACAAGCGATTCCAAAAGTGGTTTGTTCGATATATTGAGGAAAATCATATAATCTGTTCCAAAACCAAACTGATAAACTTCAAGCAGACTGATATAGAAAATAGTGATAGACCAACCGATCTGAATAGAGTAAATTTTTAGCCAAGACTTCATGTCTCAACATTTCTTTCAGAATCATTCCAGTATTCAAAGCTATCTCTGGGTTTTCATATCTGTCGAGAGCGCAAAGAAAAAAGATAAGAAATGATATCAATTGGTTGTCTGATCACAAGCTATTTTGAAAATCAAAATAACCTACCCTTTAAGAGCAATCCAAATGATTTGTTGATGATTAGCTAAATAATCAACAGTAGGCCAACGATTTCCAATTTGACGACGAAGGATTAAATTAAAAATATTGACTACATCTTTTCTTGATTCGAATTCGAATTTAGATAGATTTAATAAAAAGATTTTAAGTAAATCATTTGAATAAATATCTTGTGCTAATTGAGCTACAATCTCAGGTGAAGTGTTAGGTTGATTTGATGAAGATGAAGTTGGATCTTCACTTGAAGCATTCAAGTTTGATGAAGTGCTTGAACTTGTTAGACTACTTGGATCGATCATCGTAGGTAGATTTGAACCTGATAGGATTGATTTGATAAGTTGTAATGCCTTTGTGAGGTCTTCATGAATCTATGATGAAGTGAAGCCAGTGTTAGTATCAATGTGAGTGTGGTGATATAGGATATGATTGGTTGAATAGCTTACTAACTTTCTTATTGAGTTCAGGTTGATTTGATTGATCTAGTTTGACTAAATTATCTTTTATGATTTTAACTAATTCTTGTGGTGATTTAGTTTTTGATTTGAATAAGAATGCCATCTTGAGTTGGTGTTGATGATGATATTGAGGTTCAGCTTAGGGAAGTGGGATGAGAATCTAGCAAGAAAAGAACTGATCAGTTCAATTTCTTGGGATTAATGTCAAAAAGGCTGTTTCGCAAATTAAATGTTGTAAAACTACATTAATCTGGTTTTTAGACCCAATTTGTTTCCCTTTACGCTAAACCGATTAACATCAACTTGTGAATATCTCTCCAGAATGGGATATTCAATTAACAGGCACAATGGAAATCCGATAATCATCACACTGGAGATGGTGGATTTCTTTTGACTAAAACACTGCAGTTCAACTTCCGGATTGTGCTCCGGCAACACAGTTTCTTGACATCATTTCTGACTAGTTTGGACCCGGAGTTGCTGCTCAGCGGCCCAACCAATTTTGCTGCTGTGATCTAATTGGCTCTCCCTCTGGTCATCACCTCTTATCAAACTCAGTATGTAAAAACTTTCCGGCAGACGGAGACCTTGGTGTGACCACATTCTAGTCTACTTCAGGATATCATATCCAGTCCTTCAATGATCACTAGTACACTTGCCACAGTCAAATGTGTTGACACATATCAAGAGACAATCAAATGACACTCATTCATGGCATAATTGTAATGATCATTGGTCTTCTTTCTCTTTTGAATCACACAGTTCTTCAAATCTATTCAGTGTTTATTGAAACCTATCTGAGTTTGCTTGTCATTGATCAAATCAGACAACTATATGTCAGTCAGTTCATTCATGACCTTGAAAACCTTTCCCATATCACCAACAAGATGCCCAATTGGTGTAACATCAGTCACCCCAGCCTGTGGATTCCACTGCCCCTTTCTTACAAATGAAATATTGGCTACATTAATATCAGCCAAAGGTACTTAAGGATACATCCTCAAAAAAATTCTACCAGGGAGTCTCCAATGAGCCTCAGAGCGTGTTTACTTAGTGTGAGTTCCTAGAAATTGGGCTCTAGGGGACCCCTTTTGTACACGTACAAAAGTCTTTTTGTGATCAAATGTCTCATTTGTCTTGTGTTTTATTTGAGATTATCTTTGTGGTATTTTGTTACACATTTATTTAAACACTTCAAATATGCCCCAAGAGGCATTGTTTCATCATCATCATATAGACTACTCACCAACAATGTCAGAAAACACTGATTGTTTGTGACAAATCTTTAGACCAGTGAGTTGTACTTACTAGTCAAAGGTTTTCCATTGAGATGAAAAACTTCAAAACAAGGAGCAACACTCACTAACCTAAAGATGAGGTTAGAATATAAAGAAGACTTTCAATATTATGGGATCCTGATATCAGAGATGTGGAACTAGCAGAGAAGATGAGAAAAACAAAGTATACAAATCTTTAGCAAAACGTAATATAAAAGACACCAATGAGATGAAAAACTTCAACACAAGGATGCAATGCTCACTAAACTAAAGACATGGTTAGATTGAAAAGAAGACTGAGAAAAGCAGAAGGAGAATTGACACACACAGCTTGAGTTGAGTTTGAAATGAAAGGTATGAGAGAAAGAGAAACAAATGTGACTCTACATAGCTTTGAAAATCCTTGATTCCTAATATTAGATATTGATAAAATAAAGAACGGCAGGTGTCTGGTAAAGATTCACATACTAGTGATATGAAAGCACTATGGCTAGAGTTCACTAATAAGTGAGGGAAGAAAGAAGCACCTGGTAAAGAATCACGTATTAGTGATATGAAAGCGCTATGGCTAGATTTCACTAATAAGTGAGGGAAGAAAGAAGTACCTGTTGTAAGGTGGCACAAACAAAAAGAGAAAGATGTTTGAGTAATATTCCCATGAGCACGAAAACTACAATATGACAAAGAGCATAGAACACTGAGCAGACCTGGTAAAGAATCATGTATTAGTGATATGAAAGTGCTATGGCTAGAGTTCACTAATAAGTGAGGGAAGAAAGAAGCACCTGTTGTAAGGTGGCACAAACAAAAAGAGAAAGATGTTTGAGTGAAGAAAAACAATTGATGCACACAAAAATAAGCTCTTTATATAGTGCAGGATCTTTCTAGACATAGGTTATGCAAACAGTGGTAGTTGTGAGTATCATTCACCACACTGGGAAGAGTGGATACAAGGCTCAAGGGGGAAGGAACAAAAGAACCAAAAGAACAAGTGTTTCTCAATCTGGATAAGTGGGATGGTTGCTAGTGTACGTGATAAAACATGAATTCAACAGATATGAGGAACAAGAATTGAAAAAGGGAGAAAAGATTCTGGTACACATAACAAAAAGATCATACACAAAAAGAGAAACAAAGGGCCCTGTTTTCAACCTCTCAATACACACTCAACCAAATAATTTGTCAATCACCCTCTGCACCACATTAACACATCATTTGGCAAGAGCCATAATTGGAAAAGACTCGACCACCACACAAACATCATAATCCAACATAACTGGTTTCAATGGCCAATCTTTTAAAAGGTCACAGCTGTGATTACAGACCTGAAATATGAATACAAATTTTGGAGAAGTTGTTTGAGATTGTTTAGGATCAAATCTACATATCACAGATGAGTTGATTGCAAACATGTTAATCAAATTCTCTCTTAAAATACTTGATGTGTAGACTTGTACTTCAAGCTCAATGGACCAGTGCATTAATCAAGTATGTGAGCCATGAAAATGCAGTCCTCTATTTCATGTTTCCAGAACACTTTAACTTTGGAATATATTTGTGGCTGCATCCAAGTCTTGGCTAATTGGACAGAGGTGAAAATTTTTGACAGAAACCTCCATAATTGACATTCACAAATTTGTGTGCACTCATAATATTACCTTTAAAAAAATACAAGGCATATCTCTAGTTTATTACATTTAGGTGTTTAATATCACAAGGTTATACATCTGCAGGGCAGATTTGACCAAAACACAGTTTGTCATGTCAAAGACTAGCAAGGCCAATTCAAACGCTTGGTTGCAGTGATTATGCCTATACAACTGATTATGTCAAGACTTTTTGATCTTGATATTTCTTCATTCAAATTCAAATGTGACTTGTGTCTAAATATCAGAGAGGTAAATGGTACCCGCATGAAATTTTTCCTGTCTTTGAGTTTCCTATTTTATTTTTTGGTCCTTCAACCCTTGTGCATGTTCTTCTTTTACATACTCAAATAACTTAGAAAGTCTCACTGTTTCTTTGGTTAGTCTGCAACAATATCTTTTCACCTCAAGGTTCTTTTACTCTGTTGCTTCATGTTATGAGCCCATTCATGACTATGCTTATACCTGTGTATGCTTGTACTAGAACTCCAGGCGCTCATATCTGCACCACAAACATAGATGCCTTGGATCTCCCAATCCAAGGTATTGTCGGATGCAAATCCTTGGACAGATCTTATCCAAGGTTTCTGTCTGAGGTATCATTATGCGCCCCTCAGATCAAAACCTTGGATAGCTTCTGTCTGAGTTTTCAGATCCAAGAACGCCTCGGATTTCCCAATCCGAGGTTAATATGCTGGCAGTGCTGTTGAGTGCAGAGGTTTTACCTATCCTCATGTTGCAATAACATTATAGACTATAGAGCATCTTTCTCTCTAGTCCCTTGACAAGTCACCTCACAAGTCATAATACTTCATGTCTGTTGTTTAGTCCACAATCAAACTTGATCAAATCATACATGGTATGTACACAGGGTCCAAAATTGATGCTCACATACATGTGAGCATTGTACACTTTCATGAATTCTCCAAAAAAGATTGTTTCCCTTTCAGATTCCTTCAATTGATGATTTTGGTAGTGCTCAGGTGACCAGGCTGTTTTGCTCAAAGTTATCTGTAGATTGCTGGAGAATGCCCATTTCCATATTGATGAGCAATCTTTGAGCTCAGTCTCTCAGATGAGTACTTGGAATCAGTTCATGAGTCACTGCATACTCATAACAGCTCTGCACCTTGTCTAGAATCCCGGATCAGCAGTCTCAAAGGATTGCTGCTGAGGATCAGCTGAGCAGCTGAGATTAAGTGAGCAGATGGGCTAGCCCCCCCCCTCAGGCCTTTTTTCTAAGGAGTGAAGCCTTAGCAACACTGCCACTATACTATACTATACCAGTATAGCACTATACCAGGTATAGTATAGTTTTGACTATACTTTGTAAAGGCAGTATAGTATAGTATAGTACTTGACTATACTATACTATACTGTACTGTACTATACCAAGTATAGTATTGTAGTATCACCTTAACTACAAAAAAATCTCTTTTGGTCAAAATTGAAACAAGCAGTCAGCAACAAGACAAAGATAAAATACAAGTTTTGACAAGACTGCCTGGTTTTCCAACTCACATAACAATTTGAATCATGTAGACACAAAGATTAAGCAGCAAACATGATTTTGTTCAATTGTTTTTCTATTGATTGTTCTTAATGTAAGATTGATTGGCACTAAGAATAAAGGAGAACCCAGCGAAGTTTTCCCCTTATCAGGATACCACAATAGATGAAATCAAATTCAATTTTTTTCATTTTCTTGTTAGCTTGTCTATAGTCAGAATCCAACACAAAAAACAAGATGATATCTTCTTGATTTCAAGTATTTCAATAAAAAGCAAAGCATTTCAGACTGGTTAGTACTACAAAAGAGATAGGATTGGCCATGTTTTTGACTGAGTTGTAAGTTGAAAGTGATGAGCTGAAGAACTTGAGAGATAATTAATGGGGGATGTGAGTAGATTGAGAGGCCCCAATCAGCAAAAGTCTCTCGATTTTCTTCATTGATTGTTCGTTTTTGAGCTTGAATTGATTTGAATCTTGAACTGATTTCCTTTTTCAATCCTTTCGATTCCATCTTGAACTCAAGACTGAAATCAAGACTTGATTTGAATTAGATTTTGCATTTTGCATTGATTTTGATTCAGACTAGATTTGTTTTTGATTTGTTGTTGATTTGATTTGGATTTTGAATTTGATTCAGTTTTGATTTTGAATTTGATTCAGTTTTGATTTTGATTTGACATTCATTTTTTTGTGATTTGCTTTGTGTGATGATTCAAATGATTGATTAAATGCTTGATGAATCGATCAATTGAGTGTTCTTTTAGGATCTATGCGGTTTTGTTGCATGCGTATTGCAGACTGGATTGATGATCGATCCAAAAATAGGTGCTTTTCCCTCTTGACTATACTGTACTTGATACTGTGGTATAGTACTGAGTTTTCAGTACTATACTTTGAAAGTATAGTATATAAAAAGGTAGTCCAATACTATACTTTCAAAGTATAGTATTGAAAACTCAGTACTATACTACAGTATCACAGTACTGTATAGTATAGTGGCAGTGTTGGCCTTAGAAAGGCCTAGGTCATCTGCCCAGTTCCTGATTTGCTCAAATTCTGCTCCACATTGCTGGAGAATGTTCAGTTTTATCTTGGATGAGCATTCTTTGAGCTCAGTCTTGCCGATGGGTACTCAGAATCAGTTCATGAGTCACTGCATATTCAGAACAGCTCAGCACCTTGTCCAAAACCCCAGATCAGCAGGCTCCAAGGCATGCCACTGAGGATCAGCTGAATGGCTGAGATGAAGTGAGCAGATGGACCAGCCCTCCCTCAGGCTTGTTAGGCTTCTTTGCTAAGGAATGATGCCTGAGGCAGGCCTAGTTCATCCGCTCAGTTCCTGTTTATCATGTAATCAGCTGTCAAGCAGGAAGAAAACAGGAAGAAAAGGGAAATAATCTGGAAGTAAAATTGAACAAACATTGAAAAAACAAGAAAATTTCCATGCTCACCCCAATGTGAAATGTTGTGGCTTACAACAACTACGGCCACAAGGTGACATTGGCCTCGTGCCTCAGGGATTGCTTGCTGTCTTAAACCTCTGCACGAGGGACTTAGTTAAGTTAGCATTGGGCAATGCTTTTTGCAACATACTTGGGAGTCGGACATCTAAGGTAGTGACTTTTCTGTGGTGTTTGCCTAAGGAAGCTAGGGGTGAATTGACCATGGTGTGAAAGGTCAAACATTCGTGAGTATTGTTAATTATAAGGGAAAGCGTAGGCTAGAGCAACCATAACGTCCCCTGGGAGGGATAGTAGTTTGGATGTGAAGGCGGAAAATCAGGTCACTTGACCTGAGTGGTACATGAGGAGCTTGACGAAGGTGGAAAAATGCACCAAAATTATTTGGGTGAAACCAACGTGCGGGTGTCCTATTGCGGGCATGCCCGCCCGTTCCCTAGTATGTACAAAAAGGAATGTGCAAAGTAGCCTCGAGTCGGGTAAGATCAGTATTTAGCTGTCAACATCAAACGCTTGAACAAGTATCCTCGGAATTCAAAGACTGCAAACCAAAAAGATGATGAATTGTTATTACAGTATATTGAAATACAAACGATAGTTTCGAGATCGAAATACAAGACTATTAGAAGTGTGACTCAAGAGCGAAATGTTCATTTCAAGATGATGATAAGGATCTACGTGAGAGCGTGCATGATTGACCGATACAATTCAATCATGAATGAAATCGAAGAATCAAAACAAACGTCAGTTGCTCATAAATGGGAAAACGTGAAGTAAATCAAGACATAATTTACCAAGAGTACAACAACCAAACCGAATATTGTCCAACAGGCGCCATCACGTGCCATCTTGTCAAATAAACCGTTCATCTTGCGGTTTGCTTTGCTAAGTCGGCTGGAAGTAAAATCCATATTTTCGTCCAACTCGGATAAAAGTCCTTCTTGAACTTCAAGTTCCGATGAGATATGTAAGGAAAGGTCCCTTTGTCGGGATATCGCATTTGCCAATGCATCCAATGATCGATCTTGGTCTGCAAAAAGAGAAATGAGGTGTCTGCAATCAGAAATTCAGGTTCAGTCCAAGAAGCGAGATAGGTGGGATATGCGAACCATCCAACACAGCTTGTTGCATCATTTGAACATCTTGATTCTGACTCCTCATGATCTCCTGGTCTTCTTCAATAGTTTTCCGGGACGTGAGTCTTGTAGAAGGTTTTGGAATGTCATGAATATCGATAGCCAAAGATTGTGAGCCATTAAACAAGGGCTGTCGCTCGCGCGCTGAATGACTCATGTCTACAAGTTCTTCTTCTTGTCCTCCTTCTGATTGACTATCTCCTGTTTGATCATCCATTATTTTTGAGGGACCAGGTAAAGAGAGGTCAAGTTCTTGAAGAGATTCTTCTAGTCCATTGACACCACTTGCGAGTTTAATGATCCGATCATACTGTCTCCGAAGTTCTTCAATTATTTCGTCATCTTGTGTATCACGATAATATATTAGTCCAGATCTGAAATTATTTATGTTTTGAATAACTTTGCTTCTTGTGCTTGGGTTTGATGTAACACTTAGATCGTTCAGTCGTGAGAGCTCTAGCAACGATTGGAGTATCGATCCCGAGAGGACCGAAAGTCGTACTGGTGAAGGTGCAGAAGAACCGGTTGCCGTGCGTGGAGACATTGGATGGAGTCAAGAGAGTCGAGATCGGTTGGGTGATGAGTTTGAGTCATTTGTAATCAGTATACAGGATCTCAACCAAGGCCAAAACCCCGGGTTGTCGTTTGTGACCCGGGACTGATGACTCTCAGCATTTTGAGTTACCAAAAGCAATATTTATGGTTCTCAAACCTGTGCAAAAATTTGTGCAAGTTTTCTACAAGAATTCTTTTGACATCTTGCACAGAAGTTGTACAAAAGTTGCAGACTTTTACATAAGTCAAAAAGCCCCGTGGCAACAAGGGCTTACTGCCTTCGAGATCAACAACATGAGCTTTGCTGACTTCCCCAAAATAGGAGCAGTACAGCAATGGCGGTCCTCCCCCTCTGCATCAAACTCAATCTTATCCAAGTCCCATACATCTCGATCCAACCCTGCAGGTAATTTCCCCGCACATTTCCACTTTGACCATCGCCACCTCCCCCCTCCAAATCGTATCTCCGGCGAACTGGGTTCCAAGTCCAACAGGTGTAATCACTGGACAACCCCTTCAGCTTGCAATCATACCTCCTTCGATGAACACCCCTACCTGGAGCTTATCCCGATCTAACAGTCTCACTCAACTAAATCAAATGAATGACTCACCGTCAAATACTATGAATGATCCTTCAAAACCACAACCCACTCCTGATGAACCAACAAAGAAGAAGCGTAAATACACAAAACGGAAGACCTCAGATACAGCAAAAAAACAATCGACTGCGCCAACCGATTCAACTGATCCAAAAAAAAACGTTTCATGGAAAGCTGAACTCAATTCCGAAGGGAAAAGTAGGATCATTTTAATAATCGAATGGTTGGGAACCGCAACCTCCACTGGGACTCGATATGATTGGTGGAAGGGTGAGATGGACACGGACACGCGAACAATCTATAGCAAAAAAGATCTCGGTGAAAAGACTGCTCAGCACTTGACTGATCAAGGTTTGCCAGGCCAAGATGGGAAAGGTGTTGAAACACAGGTGAGTCAAACACATGATCTCTTCTTTTGGAAGACTTGAGCTAAAGTGTTTCAAAGTAGATTCAAAACCTTGAAATAGGCTTTACCAATGCTAACGACTTTCGCAACGGAACTGGTCAAGGCATTTTGGACAATTTCGAACAACAAGCACGAGAAGAGAAAATTCAAAATGGCTACAATTCTGATAGTGAAGAATGGAAGGCAATTGAAAATTCAACAAAATCAAAGTTTGACCGTATGTGCTTAGTCTCCTTGGTCCCACAGTTTTTGATGCGATACTGATGCATTCTTGACACAGAGCTTTTGTTCCAGAAGAGCTCTTACTACTACAATCTCCACCCTTTCATGTCCACACGTACTAATGTCATACCCCAATCTGTGCGTGAAAGTGGTGATATTTTAGAGGAAGAGGACATTCTGCCCTCCACCAAGCGCACTCGCAACCTTTCGCCTATCAGCAATGGATCATTGTTACATGAAACTCAAGAAATTGAAAGATCTCAACACAAAACTTCTTTCCAAAACGAATTAGACGACTTAGACCTCAGCCCGGACTTGGATTTTACCAACCAGCCTTATGATCCACATCCTCAATCTTCTGCTCAAAGCCATCGAGGTTCACCTTCTCCAAACAACTCCGGAAATTTTGTAGCTCGAAGCACTCGTGGCAGACGGGCCAAACATCCAAGATCACTTAATATCGAGTTAAATGATAGTTCTAGGTCAACCTCAACATCAGCAAGCGATATTCACAACCTCTTAACCTCTCAACTGCCTTCACGTGAAGAAAAAAACAAGAGAAAGAAGCTTGAGCAGAATCGATGGAGGGTTGAAGAGAAGTACATGCAGGCTGAACAAGACGCACGACAAGAAGAGCTCAAAACTCAGGCCAAACTTGCCGACGCAGTCTCTCGCCACCTTTCAGGAGGAAATGATGGTTTAGAAGAAGCAGAACGTGCCGAACGTGCTCATCTCAAATTGGAGCAAGATCGAGTTCAACTGGACCTGGCACGATCTCAGTTGGCTCGGAGTCGTGAAGACCTCCTCACTGCGAGAAGTGATCGCAAACTGGCTATGTTAGCAAAGTACAAGGCGTTGGGATTTTCAATTGAGGAAGCGAAAAAGCAAATACAAGAGGACAAAGAGGAAATGCAAAGTAAGTTATCAACCTTCATCTCTTAGATTACAAACTCAAATCTCTTTATAACCCTGCTGACCTGTCTAATTTCACTCATAGGGGATCTTGTAGATTCCCTACATGAACCAAAATGACCGATCAATTAAACTCAAAGGATTGATTTTAGAATTCAAAATCAATGCTTGATTTTGAATTCTTTCACCTACATCAATCAAAACATATGAAACATCCAAAAAAATCAATCGATTGATCATCAAAAACAAATTATGTAAAGCTTTTTTTGAATGGGATCTCAATTTTTTCTTTTCAACTTGGTCCGGGAAAACCTGTTTATTGATACTTTAAAAAAACTTGTTACTTTTTGATTTGTCTGTTTGGGTGTGACTTAGAAATGCAAACACCTTTGCTTATACTTTGTTCATTAAAGTGACTCGCGTCATTAAATTGCAAGAGGTATTTAATTTTTGAAACCATTAATACTTTAATTGCAACGCACTTAAAGTAATAGTATGTTGAGTTACACTATAAGAAATCACAACCATTGAAACTTGGAGGTAAGAAGACACTTGAGGACATCTCGATAAGAAATCACAATTTTCGCAGAATTTCAAAGGAAGAAGAGAAACTATAAGGAATCACAAAATAACCGAAATACACGCATTCGTGTTTCTTCATCATCATCTTGTAGGATTTCATCCAATACAAAAGGAAATTCGGGATCCACAGGAGTCGTAATGTTATAATTGAAATTACTTTGATCTTGTTGTTCCAATAAGAAATTGTGCAGAATACAACAAGCTGAGATCCAAGCGTTCAGTCGCTTTACAGACTTCTCGTTCTTTATCAATAATCGTAAGTCTTTCAAAGACTGCCATCGTGATTTAAGCATACCATTACAGTGTTCAATTGCCACACGCAATTCACTCAAGACCTTGTTAAAAGCCATCTTCTCGCGTGTGAGAGGAATCCCTCCTACTCGTTTGAAAGCAGGAATAATGAAAGAGCTCGAGCTGTACCCTGAGTCAGCCAGAAGATACTCTCCATCTGAAAAAAAATTGGTCGGGTCTGACCACATCTGGAACGTACCATTTGAACAATTGATGTCATGTGCCCATCCGAACAATTAACACAATTAGTTGTCAGTGTTAATCAATTCCAGAGAACACATACCAAAACTTGAACATACCGAAGAAGTACGCATGACTCGCTGGTCATGGACACTGCCGCACCATCCATGGCGAGCAAACATAATCCTACGCTCGTGATTGCATACCAGCATCGAGTTAACTGCATACATGTACTTTCAAGTCCAATAGTCCTCTTTACATTTGGGAGGACCAAATGCAAGAGGTATCAATGTACCATCAACAAAACCCACGCAGCCTTTGAAAGGTGTGTTTGCGCCAACAGCTTTTCGCGTGTTGAGACGCTCCGCGGATGATGGCCAAGAGAGATATTTGTGTTCCATTCAAACGATAGCAACCACACATCTCCACGTGAAATTCTCGATACTCCCATCTGAAACACAAAAATTGGAAGTAAGCAGACATCTCGTTTGTTGTTGTACATAGGAGCTCACGTGAGATGCCAAAAAGATGCGCTAGAACACCAACCCCCCCCCCATTTCCAGAAAGTCCAAGATTAGCCAGAGTGACCAGGAGTTGAAGTTCGATTGGGGCCTGCGGACAGGTGGATTCATTCTGGAATACATCACATGTTGCAATTTTGTTAAGCAAAGTTAAGTAGCAGGAACGGCTCATTCGTGCCTAATGTTTCATACTGGTGAGTCCAACAATCACCTAGACGAGATCTAACCCAGAGAAGCAAACATACCAGGTTTAAAAAGGTCGCTTCGCTTGAGGCCCAGATCCTATTGAACATTGTCTGATACTCTTGAGGTCCACGTCTCCTGGATTCGAAGTATCGCTTGCGCTGGATCATGTCGACCGCAAGTGACCATATGGCTGGATTATCAAACGGTCCCAGCTGGTCTTCTTGGCTGCTTGATGATCTAAGCAAACTCTTGTGTCGTTTTCAAAAGATTGTCCAGAGAGTTACACACACATGAGGTTTGAGATCAAACACCACTTGAATTGATGGGAGCTGTAGTAGCTGGCAGAAGGTAGAGAGACCGGAGTTCGAGCGGCTAAAGAGCTTTCGCCTTGCACCGAGGACTAGACTGTGAGGGCTAGAAGTTGAAGAGTGGACTTGACTGGCGAGTCGCTTGAATGCTCAAATGACTTTTTTTCAAGACGAGAGGCGTGGCATGATGTGTGAAATTGACTTTTATGATGGGGTTGTGAAAAAAAATAAATGCAAGAATCGGTGCAAGAATTCTTGCACCGATTCTTGCACGGATCTTGCAATTCGGTCTTGCACAGGAGTTGCACAGGTTTGAGAACCATAATTGGTGATAGGCTTTTTAATTTCTTGCCCACTTCTTCGCCATGTTGTCTGCTGGTTCAAATGCTTTTTACGGTATCCAAATCCCTGCGGATGAAGACAAGAGTTGAACAAGTGCAATTCGGTCTTGCACAGGAGTTGCACAGGTTTGAGAACCATAATTGGTGATAGGCTTTTTAATTTCTTGCCCACTTCTTCGCCATGTTGTCTGCTGGTTCAAATGCTTTTTACGGTATCCAAATCCCTGCGGATGAAGACAAGAGTTGAACAAGAGACAAAGAGCATAAAATTAAAATCAAATACAATGTGTATAGAGGCCCCAAGACTTGCCTATTCTTACCTCAACTGTAGCACACAAGGTATATCTGCGGAAACAAATCTAAAATATAAATACGTCGAATCAACTTGCATAAGTACCGTACAATCCTCTTCTGTTTTGGTCCACCTCCCATCAGGTTGGTTTTGGTGCTTTTCAAGTTTGATTTGTACTTTTCAAGTTGGGTTTGTGATTGTATGTCTACTTTTCAATCAACGATTTTATCGCGCTTTTTCATTTGGTATTGTTCTTCTTTCTTTCAATTTCTATTGTTCTTTTTTTTGTTTTTGTAATTTCTTGAAAAGTTAAGCTATTTATTCTTAATTTGCCTTGTTCCGATTCATCATCTTGTGTGAGGCTCCGAGCAACCTGCTATCTTCGATGGTTGCCTGTAAAAAGTCATTTTCAAAGCTGTCTTCTTCTCAGCATTTGAAAGCATCACTTCAAAAGTCGTGTCTTTGCCAAGCCTTGCATTTATTTCTTAGACCTATAAAGAGGTAAGTTATTCTACTTTTTTTGATGGATAATAGTTTCCCCATCACATTTTTGTATAATGAAGAAACTTCTATAATGCAACCATCCACCTAACCCAACAAGCCATTATAAAAAACCATCATCTCATAGTAATTTCCTTGCACCATACTCTCACCTTGTGGAAAGGAAATGTACAAGTGAGGCCGGAAAAGATACGACACCAGTTTACTCCACCCAGTCCACCAGTCGGGGCCAGCGGAGTGACCTGGTGTCGTATCTTTTCCGGCCTCACTTGTACTTTCCCACATTGCCTGACAACCCCGGCTTTAGATTAACACTTTCCGATCTTGATTGCTCTTGATGTTTTGTGATTGTTTGCATTTGATTATACATTTACAAATCCATTTTTGGTGTGACCTGCAATTCTTGGTAGCAAGCTTTGCAAAATCTGACTCCAAATGGTGTGTTTCTGCCTTGGTATACTTTTTTTTACTTTATAAGAAGGTAACATGTCACACTGACTCTCCCAATAAATTTGCCCACCTCAAAACCAATCCTATAGCTCAATATTTCACCTAATTCATCAAGTCACTGTACAGATAATTCCTTTTGTACTCTTTTTTCTGCCCTTTTTTTGATAACTACTTGGTATTCTTTCTTCTTCTTGGCCTATTTGTACCTGTCTTGGCTTGCTTGAATCTCACGCTAAGCCTACAACCTCCAACCTTTATATATCTCCTTTGACTGGGCTTGCCTTGTGATAATAGGAATCTTTGTGAACAACATTCCTTTTGCATCCAACTGTTGCGCCAAATGTGGTCTGCAAGCTTATACCACCTGGTTGTCTACAATGACTTCAAAGTGTGCTCTAGGTGACAGTGTCCATCTTTGTCTCTTGAAAGATGTGGACAATCGTGGCCAGAGCTACGTAAGTGGGTGGTACAAAGTGCTTCTTTTTGCAAATGTAAATTTCTGTAGGTAAATTCAGACAGTCTAGCTGTGGCGGGCATGCCCGCATGTTCTCTAGTGTGAGGAAAAGAGTGGAAGGATTTCTACAAACAGACATAATCTTGACTCTTGCAGGTCCTCTTTGATGCCTAAAGTGTATATTGAAAACTGGATGAATATGCTGAGCAAACAGATGTGCATACATTCAGGTTTTTCACCGGTGCAAGACACCCCAGAAGAAGTACAAGATAAGATTTCTTTGAGACCTCAATCAAATTTGTCACCAGATAGATTTGAATTGATCCTGTTGTTTTGGAACACATCATATGCTCCCAATATATAGTATGAGTCATGATATATAGTATAACGCTTGGTAAGTGACATCTCCATATTTCAGTAGGTGGTGGTCAATGTAAGGGTTCATAGGATTCTTTGCATGCAAGTGGCAAGTGCTATCTAGATTCTAGAGTCTCATACTGGTATTTCAAAATGTGGAATCCAGTATGTAGAGCTCCTGTTTGTCTGATTCGCAGGTTTAGTGAAGCAGACTCACCATCTTTTCTGGGGTCTTAGTCCAGTGTGGACATAACTCATCTGAGTTGTGCTCAGAAAACATACTCAACATAAATCTAAATTGTATTAAATAGTGACAAGACGAAAGAGATGAAGAAATAAAAAGTGCTCGTGGTATGCCTAATTAGCACTTGCTGAATCATGACACTTCCCTGTGGTCTTCTCTATCTGAGCAGTAGAAGCATCAAAGAGTCAGTATACTGATTAGTGATTGGCAACTCTTGCAGCAGTTGACTGAGCAATCAAACTCTGCACAACTTTTGGTACATGGCAGCCGACAGGATCAGACGCAATTGAATGGTTTGTACTTCACTGAAATTATCCTTCACAAGCGCGCCGTCCAGAACTTCAATGAAATGGAGAAGCTTGGAAAGAGAAGAGTCGAGTCCTTTTATGAGGTGACTACATGAAGTGTGGGTCTCACATGGCAATCTGATGGTCACGCATCACGATGTGTACATACATACGTATCCCCCGGAGCTCGGTAGAGCTTGGTTCACCTTTTGGTCAAAGCTGAAGCACCAGATGCAGTCAGGAAGAACGGGAAGATCTGTGGATGCCAAGCAAGCTTTCAAGTTTCAGATCTGAATAATTTCAATGCTCAGCCAAGTTTGGTGGCCTACAGGCATTGGGGTGTAAGGTGGGTGCTATGATGATTGGTGGGTGTGAGATCCTACAAGGCTTGTAGCGCTTTCGGATGCCAAGATCCGAGCAAGTTAGCAACCCTGGGGCATCCACCGGTGATGACACTCGGAATGTTGATCCAGCAGATTTCTCGGCCGTGATTGATCCGTCCGGTCCACCCTTGACAATTTAGTTAAACGTTTAGTGCCCTTTGTCTCGGAGGAAAAATTAGTGGCGACCCAAGACACCGGGTTGGATTCTCAGAGTGGATGAAATTGACGGCGGCCTCAACCGACGAATAGCGCATGTGTGCTGGAAGTGATGTCTGGCTCGATTGTAGCATCAAACCTCCTCAAACCATCCGGTCCTCCTTCAGGCCACCTTAAACTTGGTTCAATCAAAACAGTCAGCTGGATCTTGCTCAACACATACATTAACGTGATCGCGTTATACTGATTACACCATCCAGGATAGCGTTTGTGTATCTCGACCCTTCGCGGTCTGAAACAGGAGATCTCCCTCTAAAATCTGTATGCAGAATTGATGAAGCACTTCCTAAGTCTTCATTCCGAGCATCATCTAAGCTTATGTACTCCTGAAAAGTGCAATCTGACTACGACCTCATCAGAATCTAACTACTATTTCATCTTCGAAGGCAACGGGCAATCTTGATTCACGGGTCCTGCTTGAAGGATGGTTTGATCACCATGGAATTCCAAGGATAATCGAACGATACAGCGGAAAAGAACCACGGGCAAACTAATATGAGAATCGCATGACTCACTTGTTTCAGAAAATGTCACAATGACCCATGAGATTTCCTTAAAATGGTAAGCTCACCTTTTTGCCCTACAATCGCTTGGCACTTATGGTTTCTTCTTGATTGCTGTCTAGCTTCCTCACCGCCTGAACCTGTATATATCCACAGTTCCACTTCAAAGTCCATGAAGGTAAACAACCGTATCTCATCGTGAATTTTCTTAGTACGCGTAACGTCGCCATTTTTGCTTTTCTATACCAAAGACTGGTCACTCCAACTTACCTACTTCCAACAAATTGCTGGTCGTACACTTACGTTCTTCAAACCAAGCTTGTCTTCTTTCATTAAGCGTTTACTTTCTTTATTTTCATCTTCATTCATCATCTTAGCGCTGGTGCCAACATGATCATACGTGTCACAAGTCTTTCTCTCATTCAATATCGTAAAGTCATAAAGCTATGTATCATCACCTGGGGATTCGGGCAAATGCTCCTTTTCAGCCATCCTGTCAATGGTTTACCACTCATTCCAGACGTAAATGAGTTTAGTACAGTGGTTAAGGCAGCAAGGGAATCAAGACTTGCAGGTAAAGAGGGAGAGGGTCTTTCTGGAATAGAGAAATTTGCAAATAATGGTAAGTCTGTTTTATGCTCAACGTTTCATCAAAATCACCATACCAAGCTCGAAGGTGACACTGAACCTTTTCCTTTATCTGCTTCCTTGCCTGGTACTCATCAGATCATTTCGCAGATAGTCCTGCAACTAGAAACGACCCATTCGGTATGTGAATGATTTCATCTTGCAACGTAGAATAAAGCCAAAGCTGATCTAAGCGTCATTTCTTCAATCCTTCTCACGAAGGCACCAATCCGAGACCGGAATCTCCAAAAAGGTTGACATACGGTGAGATATTCACTCTGTCACAACGTCCTCACTACTTGGCTATAAAACTAAATCCCTTGTTTTGTTAGACGCCGAACCTGGTCAGGAAGCCTCAGCCTCAGGTACTACGAAAAAACTTACTGAGGCAGAATTACAGGAGTCATGTAAGTGGTTTCGCTTTGAATTTCCACTTGAATCCGACATCACTCTGGTATTGAGAAAAATCTTCGCTTTGTTCAATATATTATTCAGCAACCGTAATGATAGAAAGTGGTGAGTGATCCAAATCCTTAATGTTCATAGAAAAGGGGGACTTCTACACAACTTTCACCTTGCTGATATCTCGTATCTCATTCTTCTGCTAAAGTCTCTCAACACCCTGACGCATATGCCGAACAGATGTTGAAAGAAGATCCCGGTTACCTTGGAGTTGCTGTAAAAGTATACCAAGAAGGACCTCTTGATAGAAAAATTGCTGCAATTAACAAAGTTTACACGGCGGCCCAGACGGCTGGAAAAGTCAACGCACAAGGCACCACTTATAAAGCTATACATTTGACTCAATTTTTATATTGGGCAAAAGAACCGACTACTGCAGCTACGCCTGAACTTGAACAGTTGAGAGATCTGTGTGATGTTTATCTTCAAAATCTCAAATCAGATGCCGACATCGATCCCATCATAAAACAACTGGCAACTGCGGCTTATGACGCTGAGCCTCGAGGTCCAAATAGAAACTTTCCAGGCTTTGGAACTCAAAACACCAAGGCACCCGTCATAACGAATCTGAATGCTGCTTCTCATACCAGCAATGCACCTCCGAAATCGAATCCGACCATCAACATAGAAGATGACCTTATTTCTCGTCTACCTGCTGACAAGAAGCAACTTCTAGACACAGTTTTCCAACAGCAAAAGAAAGATCAATTAGCTGCACAAACCTCACAACAAGGTGCTAAGTCAAAGCCAAGTCTAGCTGAACAAGTTACAGAAAGATTGAAACAAGATCCTAAGTTGAAACAAAGTTTAGCTGAAGAAACTGCACGATCAAAAGCCGTTTCCCAAGCTACAACTTCCGACGTTCCAAGTGACTTCCCTGGACTCAAAAACCGACCAGCAAAACTTCTAAGTCCTGCAGAAGTCAAGGAGGTACAGAGACTCCTCAAGAATCCAGTCAACAAACTTCCTCATCCTGAAGATTTCAAAGCAGCTTCATCTAGCCAGAAACCAACCCCGAAGCTTACGACGATCTCCAAGAAACCAGAAACTCCACCCGCAGATGACCCTCTGAGTCGCGCTAGACGACTCCCAACTCCGGGCGAAGTACATGAAGTCCAAGTTGATCCAACCGGATTTGCAACAAAACTATTCACAAGACCAGCAGCAGGTAGTTCATCAGGACTTCCACTTCCTATCCCGCCAAATCAAGCATTTTTGAAAAACGTAGCCACTCCCAATAAGTCGGCCTTAAAGGCATTAGATAAATTAGGAGGTCGGAGAACACCACAGGTTCCAAAATCATCTACTGGGGGTGGTATCACTCCTGATGCATTTCAAAATGCACAACCACTTCCACAACCTCGTGGATCTTAAATCAGGGATCCGAAATCAAGTCCATTGGATATTTTTTTAGGAAAAACTTCAGGCTTCAATTCTGTTGGTAGAATTAGACATTGTATACTGAAAAAAACTAGTTGTATGTAAACACAGCTGAATATTTTAGATTTCTCATACTTTATGGACCCTCATTTGATAAATATACATATTTCTATTTTGTTACCTTTCTCCTTTCATTATACAAATTATCACCATCTGGTCACTCAAAGACAGTCGTAAGATTATGATGAAATCACTTGTTGTGGCTTGAGTCCCTGAATCAGACAAACATGTATATCATGATCAAGGGGAGCACGAAAAATGCCCTGCTTGTACTCAGCTGTCTCGTAAGGTTAATGACTCCTTATCTACATCCCACATCTTTTGAGAAATGTTATGGCGAGAACTTGAAGCGTTCAGTGAGATTTGTTAACGTAGCAACTTCTGCAAAAACATAATGGCAGAAACCACTGAATGCACAGCGCAAAGTATAGATTTCGAATTGATCTGATGAGTCAAAGCAAATTCTTTCGATTTTCTCTGTAACAGTTGATAATGGGGTAGGTGATTTTTACACAGACTCGTTTACACCGGATCATTCTGTGTAAAACCGAGTCGGTGTAAAATTCCAAAAGGTGGTCGGGTTCTTAGAATTTTACACCTCTTTCGATTTTTTTTTGTCTGTGTTGAAAAAACAGTGTAAAATTCTTGTGGCCGGTGGCAAGATTGAATTTTACACAGAATTTATTATTACCTTTTCTAAAATGAATGGCACCCCTGGCCCAAAGAAAAAATATTTTTCAGCGCTGCAGTCCCCGCAGCCGGTGCAGTGGACTGTGACAGACAGATGCATTCAGATCAGCTGGCTGACGCGGCCTGCTGAGCACTGCTATTGGCAACCCCTCACCGAACGTTTACTCATCTGCGATGGGCATTCAACACCCACCTCCTCAACATTTTCCCTGACGCCTCAAACTAATCGCTTCATCGATCACACGTATGTCATCCTATCAACTTTCTATCACATCTATTTCATGTTGATTTTTGACCTTTTTTCTTTTTCTTTTCTTTGACTTTGATTTTGATTTTGTCTTCTTTTTTTGACCATGTAGATCAAGCGGGACTTCCTCTCTGGGGTTGACGACATGAGATGCAATGTTGTCAAACAAAACAAATCAGACGATGATCATCATTTAGGGGATTGGGATCGGATTCATTCGTCTCATCGATTAGCTGATGATATTTCGGATTAAGCTTATGCTACTCGTCAAGAATCCTCAATCCAAAGAAATTTAATTTGGGTAGTAATAATCGAAGACATCTTTGAAATTCTCTTTTGTCTTCTTCGTTCTTTCTTCATTCATTTCAAAGAACTCTTATTTGTTGAATCAAAATCCTTTGATTTTAATTTACTGACAGATTCTTCATGCATACATATTATGGTTGTAACTTTTCTCTTTCTCTTGTCTATCTTTTTATTGTTATTATATCAATTCCTATCTGTTTTATTGATTCTGGTTCAAAAAGAACACACCGGAATAACAAAGAAAAACACAGGATAAAAACCTTGGATTAATCACATCATTTTTCTGGCTTTACTTTGAAAATCTTCATAATGATCTGAAGAAATTCAGAGTTGATGTAAGATTAAAATAAGTTGAATGAAAGAATGGTGTGCAAAAGAAGAAACCTGCTTTCGCGCTTTACTTGAATACCAATCTTGAAAGAAATTCATAACACTCTTGATCAAACAAAATGATCATCATGAAAATGTGAAAACCAATTTAAATTGCAAAAAAACTCAAACTCTTCAAGAAAACAAAATAAACATTGAAAACAAAGTGATTTGACTGATGAATTTGGTTGTGTACTTTATCCATTTCCTTCTTCACAGGAATTACTTTTATGTTGAGGTATAAAATTCCAATCTTTTGGTGTAGGTCGAGATTTTCACCCAATCTTTTGAAGATCCACTTGTCAATAAGGTCTAAAAAGGAAATACCCAAAGAAGAAATTATGATGAATCGATCCAAAATTGAAAAAAACATGAATTTCAAGTTAAAGATGACTTACTTCTGATTCATCTCTTCTTTGGAATGGGTATGGTCGATCGTTTATTTTTGCTGGTAATCTTTCTTATAAACCGACTGGTACATATTGGTATTAAAACCCTAATGATTCACAAAGAAAACGTTCGGTGAGGGGTTGCCAATAGCAGTGCTCAGCAGGCCGCGTCAGCCAGCTGATCTGAATGCATCTGTCTGTCACAGTCCACTGCACCGGCTGCGGAGACTGCGGCGCTGAAAAATATTTTTTCTTCGGGCCAGGGGTGCCATTCATTTTAGAAAAGGTAATACACATGGCACGGCTGTGTAAAAATAGTCAGTGTAATAATCACGGGCCCCGACCCGAAGTGTATTTTTACACCGATCCGGCTACACCAAATTGCCATGTGTAAGATCTGGTCGGTGCAAAAATCCCATTCTGCTGAGCTCACCTTCAATTTTACACCGAAGTTTTACACCGCATCCGACCGACACTTCGACGCACATACTCCAGATGATGGAATGCCTGAAGGATACCACGCAACCCAAACATCAGACGTATATACCTGATGTTTGGCATGGTATCAAAGGCATGCAAAAGCCTTTCAAAAAAAATTAACTGCCGCCCTTTCACCATTCCCACATTCCCACATATCCACATATCCATGGAGTGGAGGCCCTCGTGATATGATTACGGTTCTGATCATTACGGTTCTGATCATATGAACAGAATCATTCCGGATCGGAACTATGAATTCCAACCACTTTCGGATTGCACGACGAAGATTTCAAAGACTTCTCGCTTTTGTTGACAACTGTTTCTCGGTTTTGACAACCTTTAGTTCCTTCTCTTTTGATCTTGACTCGAATCATTTATTGATGACGCTTTCGTCCTTTCCTATTGGTTACATTTAAAGCATCCCTTGACGCTTTCGTACTTTCAAATTAAGGCTTTCGTACTTTCAACTTGGTTTCTATCACTTCCACCATGGGGCAGACATTCTCCATTTCATCGGCCGCTCCCTTGGAAAATACGGGAGAGGGAGAAGAGGACTTGTGCACATATGCGTCTTCGCATCATACCTCAGAAGCTATTCCCGATCTCACTTTGGAAAATCTGTTCACTACCACTCCTAGCTCTCCATTTACCATTATTTCGACTTCAGACTGCTCAGAATCTTCTTTGGATCCCTTACAATCAAGTTCCTTAGAAACTACTCCATTAAAATCTAGTCGTAGTCGATATCATAAATCTCCAAGCGTAATCACAATGTCAGCCCAATCTGAACTAGTCACCAAGACCCAAAATGTTTTCAAAGACGTCGACAACATATCTCAATCTCATGTTAGTGAAACTACTGACAATGAAGACGTTGGCCCAGTCAAAACCCGGCAATTGCAGCTTCCCCTCAACAAACGGAAGTTCGCCACATGGATTGACAAAGGCAGTGAGCTCGACGAACAGGGATATCCCATATATCCTAACGGGGAAACAATGTTTGTGAAGAATGCCGAGGATCAAATCACTAACTTTAAAAAGGGGATTGCGACGATTGCGTGGACTCACACGATGCGGACTGAACACAACAACAAGTGGACTATTAGACGTTATTACTGCCTTGGGATTTTAATTTGCTCTGAGAAAGGCTGCCAACTGGCGGGATCGCCTCCCACCGGCCACAAGGCAATAGAGAAATATCTCTCAAAGTACGTCATCTCAAACTTATCATCATATGACAAATAACTAAATTGATCCCTTTGGTTATTGGGTAGGTTTCCCAATTGCACAGTCTCTGGATGTCCTGGCCTTGTGAATCACTTGGCGTGTTATGCCCGCTGTCGCGTTGACGAGGACACGGTCGAAAAATGGTGTTTGTTGCGACACCAAGGACAACACACCCACCGATGGCCTGACCCCAAAAAGGCTGATCCTCTTGCGAAGGAAAAGCTGGAAGAGGCTGTGTTGAATGATCCGAAACTGGGACCACTTGGTATGAAGGTATGTAATAATATCCTCTTATGTTCACAGAAGAACATGAAGCACATACTCACTCTTGCTGTTTGCTCTCTGAAAGGTTGGACGTGCCCGACTTGGAACCCAACCGATTGCTTCAATAACAGATATCCATTCATCTTTTGGACATACCGACCGCCTCGGCTATTTGCGCCGTGAAATTCTCGCCAAACACGGGTTGATGGACGATAAGAATGACAAGGAAGGGGGTGACAGGTGGTATACACAGATCAAACATTGGTCCAGGTCAGTATTGATGATTTTATTTCGTACTCCCAGTCTTTCATATTTTTGTATTATTTCGTATTCCAATCCCTTCATCCTTTTGACGTGGCTAACTTGCCTTCTTTTCCTGTTTTCCTCCAACAGGAAAGGAATGAAAATTGTGTCGGTTGCAATGGACGACGATGACCATTTTACCTTCCAAACGAAGTGGATGGCCGACATGCTAGTACTCAAACAAGAAGACGGGGAGGCCTACTCTGGCGGCCTCCTCTCCGATGTCACATACAAATTCTTCCTTAACGGTTACCTATTAACCACGTCGATGTACAACGAGAAGCTCCAGCGCTGGATACCGATCCTACTGTCGTGGCTCGGAGGACTGTCTACCTTACACTACAAAACCCATTTCGCCACTCTCTTCAAACAAATCCAGAAGACTGACTTGTCAGACAGGGAAAAGAGACGCCTGGTCGAACAGGTTGTTGATTTTTCTGCAGCTCAGAAAAACGGATTCATAGATGCATACATGGAGGTATTCAAGGTACATGATCGTAAAATCGCCTTTTCTAAGTTGCACGGCTGCGAACAGCATTATCAACAGGCGGTCACTCGCATATCGAAAAATCACAAAATAGTGAAGGTTAATATGGTGGTCAGTTCTCAATCTTTGGACTTTGATTAACTGTCACATTGTTTTGATTTAATTCATCTAATCAATATACGTGTTACATGTTCCTTTGACACGCAGGGTACTTGGAAGACACTGTGCCGAGAGCTTCTTCTCCCGGATGAACCTGGACGTCCAAATCTTGAACAAAGATTCAAAGATTTGCGAAGATTATTTCCTTTGGCGAAAAAATGGATCGACTGGTGGTATGCGGCGGATGTCCAAGCCATGCTCTTCCAGGCGCGGAAGAGGATTCCTGAAGATGACCCGCCATTACCTGAAGAAGAATCAGATGACGAAGATCAAGCTCAACCACGCCGGCGCGCTGATTTACCGAAGACGACCAATGCCCAAGAATCCTTACACCGGGTCTACTACATGCTCTGGTAGTTATTTATCAAAGCTTTTTCCATTTAATCGTAAGGAGTCTAACATTGAATCATTTCGTCAAATGATGATGTTAGTGATGGCAAGTGTGGGATCATCGCCGGGATGATTCAACTATTTGCATTTGTTTTGAGTCTAGAGCGCGACTACGAGGCCAGATGCAAAGGTATCTCGGTGACTTACAGTTCCAGCAATCAAAATTGGCAAGACATCGTTGCGTCTTTAGGCATGGCCAAACCCACCAAACGCCGATACGTTGCAAACGACGGCCGTGCACCGGACACCACCAAAGAACTACTTGACGGTGCTGATCCTAAATCCGGCAAACCCTCCAAGAAGAAAGGTCCAGGACGTCCTCAAGGTTCTTTGAACATCAATCGAAGTGCTTTGACAACCTACAAGTCTTATACGTCAGGCACCACCATTGGCACCCTCAATCGATGCTGGCAGACTGCCACGCTGGAATCCCTCTACGCTCTGTGGGGTCCACTTTGGAGTGACCACACGCACGTCAATGGGACATCTTTGCCCACGATCATCATTCGACATTTCACCGGACGTTGCGATGGCGAGTTGAATGAAGGCAAACACCTCGGGAGTTTATTGAAACGCAGTCAGAACATTATTCACAAGGCCATCCAAGCTCTCAAACCCGAGTCATACACGTCCGACAAGTTTTGTTCTGCCGATGGTTTCATGGACATGATAGTAGACCACCCGCACACAAGGCCTCTTTTTGCTATCAACGTGACTAAGACATCAATATGTCATCGCAACGACAAACACAACCGAGCTACAACCAGATCTTTAGGCGGTTTCCGGCTTTTCCCATCAATGTTCAGGGAGTCTGGCGTTGCTTATGGACAACTGGACATTTTGCTACAAGATTTATTCTCTGAAGGTGTCCTAACCGAACCCGGGCTTGTATGCCGTGGATGTCATCCAATCAAGGAAAAAGGCCACGAGGAAGAGGACCCGACATTGTATGATCAACGTATGAAGATTGAGGATACATCCTTACCGTTGCATCTCTATTTTCTCATGGACAACGTCATGGCCTTAGATTCCAAGGAACGAGGACGTTACATGGGAGACACCAACTGGCCAGCGCGTCTAGAATTAGGTGAAGCCAAATATCAGATGGTCACCCGTGGTTTCTGGGGTGGGAACCATTATTGGTGCCAAGTGGTGAGATCAGTAGAAGGTGTCTTGAGCGTATGGCATTATGACGAGCTCAAGAATGGAGGGTTTTCCCAGCTCATATCCCGCGACGTAGACAGCCTTTCTGGTTGTATTGCTAACACCAGCTGGACGTGTTACACGCGGGTCCCTTTTGAAGCGGAAACTGTCAAGATCAAACATGCCCTTCTGGACATGATGAAGAAGTTTCCAGACCGACACCTCTCAATACCTTTCACAATGCCTACCAGCACGATGCCTTTCGGAGGAGGCCTTCCTTCTCTTGAAGAAACTGACGACGCCGTTTTGACCACAACCTTGCCAGAAGAGGCTTCTTTGCCAGTTTGCATTGACGCTGATGCAGATGAAGATTTCTTAAATGACAACGACGACGTTCTCTACGACAGGCTCAACCGTGAAGAACCTCAGAACGGAAATGACAAGCTTCTCTACGGTAATATCGTACCTCTGGATGATGTGGATGTCATAGGAACCGAAGAGGCCAACATTGAGGTTGATGAGCTATCTCATCAACCTTCTGAGGAAATCAAGATGCCTTTGGACCCTCTCAAATTGAAGATCAAGTTGGCCATACCAAAGTTGAATCCGTCAATTGAAGAGGAGGCCCTTTCACCACCAGTAGCCTCCACAGATGTCCAACCACGTAAGTTGCCTTCCTTCACTACACTCTCTTTGTTCTTTGCAGTACTGTAGGACACTGACCTCATCTGTGCTGCATACAGGGAGCAAGCGCACACGCAAAGCTACAAAGAAGGCTGATACCCCGCAAGCGGATGACAGCTCTTCAGCGGCTAAACAAAAGGCGACAGCGGATAAGCGCAAGGCTACAGCTGATAAGCGCAAAGCTGCAGCTGCAAAGCGGCGCCAGGCTGCAGCGGAGAACCGCGAGCGGCTTAAGAAGTTGAGGGAGTAGTTTTCTTTGAAACAAACGAACAAACAAATGCCTTAAGTGGTTAGCCTGTGGTGCTTATTGTTCTTTCTCAGTTCCATTTATTTCCTGTCTCCCTGTGTGTCGACTATAAACCCAAAACATGGGGTCTTGTGCGTTTATCTCGCATGTTTTTTTTCTCAAGTCTGCGTAACATATTCTGTGCAAAAATCAATTCACGCGTGCCAAAATTGGATTTTTGCACATGGCCTGCTTACACAGGTATTCCCGGTGTAAAGATTAGACGTGCAAAAATGTACTTTGCATGTGTAGACTTGAAATTTACACCGAGATTTTTTACACCGCCGTAACATGTGTAAAGATTTAAATGTAAAATTCAACCTCACGACCGGCCACATGATTTTTACACTGAATATTTTACACCGTCATTTTTAACACCGGAATAAAAATTTCGAAAGAGGTGTAAAAATCTAAGAACCCCCGCCTTTTTTGGAATTTTACACTGACTTGCTTTTACACATGATGATTCGGTGTAAAGGAGGCGGTGTAAAATTCCCCCTCTCCGTTGATACAGTGGGTAAACCCGAGTACGTGTTCCAAGCCACCCTGCATAGAGCTTTGGGTCCGAAATTTTTGAGATTTTTTTGCCATTTTTTCTGCTTTTTTTGGCGGGAGAAGAAGGTCGAGGGGTGGTGCTAGGTTGCAAAAGTTTGGTTTTTTTTTCAAAAAAAGGCAAATTTGGAGGTTATTTGCCACTTGAGCCACCATATTCATCAAATTATGGGCCTAGTGCGTTGCTAAGTAGCTAGCTAGGTACCTAATTGAGGCCTAGGTCCGAAAATCCAAACCCCTAAAAGAGTAAAATCATATTTTTGGTCTCCAAAACCATATTCCTAGATTCATCAAAGCAATACCTTTTCAATGGTCTGGGTGCCAGTCTCAAACATTCAGATTGAGTGCCCCGACATTGCCCCAAAAGGTGAAATTGGATTTTGCAGGGCAGGTCGGAACACGTACTCGGGTTTACCCACTGTAATTATTTGAAGCCAAATCGGATCAAGGTACTGCAAGTCCAAATAAAACTTCAGCCACTTGATCACTAGATGGCCATTCATCCGATTCTCTAATCTGGATCTCGAGCATTTCTCTCATCATACCATATGATTCTGAAGTCAAAGAATCTAATCCATGACCTCTGACTACATGTCCCAAATTATCCTTATCCTTTTCCTTTGAGATTTTTGATGTTTCTTTCATCTTGATAGTTTTGTTTTTAGAAATCGATCTTTTAGCTATGTTATCAATGGGACTCGATGGACCAACCTGTTCCAGTCGATTTTCAAGTCCAGAGTTTTTCTTCAACAATTTCCTTCTTTTAGAAATACTAGATCTTCTGTTCGGTTGTGATTTCATAGCTCTTGATCTAATTACTGGAGTGATTTCTTCATCGTCAACTTGTTTCCCTCTTCCCGATCTGAATTCGTTGAGAGTGTTGGATGGCATATATAAGGCAGATAGTGCAGGATGCGGTTTGATAGGTTTTAGGTGATTTGATTGTGCAGTTGATGTTGAGGTGGAAGTTGTGCTGGGTATATGGTTCATGTGCTTGCATAGGAAAAGAGATTCATGTGAGTATCATAGCTGTCAACATCGTAAGATGTTGTATACTTCAAATTCACGAACCTGGACCAGTGGTGAGCTGAGGTTGATCGAATGACCAGCTTTGACCCCGTTGAAGGTTGTCTCCAAATGTTTAATTGGACGCAAAATGGACTTTGCCTTCCTGTGAGATTTTGATTGCTGTTGGGAACGCGTCAATTTAGGCACCGTTTTCATCATCCTACTTCGTCTCTCGTCGTCAACGTCAATGTATTCCCGGCTATTCAATTGCTCGACACCAGGATTGATCATGTCAAGCTCTGCGTACGTTCAGCAAAAGAAAAATAAGGAGATCATTAGCCAGATTTCCCTGTGAATACGCAAGCTTATATTTGCTGATACTGACCTGAGCCCTGAGCTGATCCACTTGTGTTGGTAGTACGGCCATGTGTGAGTAGAGTACCAGTCTCTGATACAGCCATAGAATCGGAGCCAAAGTTTGAAATACCAAACTCCACACTTGATTTCGAATGATTCGTTTCACCATCAAATCTTAGTTTTTTGTATGGATTGTGCTTTGGATCACTTTGATGAATGATTTCGATCTCCGGCTCGTTCTCCTCTTCCGAAAAGTTCAAAGGCGGTTGTGAAAATTCAGATTGATTTTGCAAACTTGATGAAACATTCTCGGATTCAGCACCTGGCTGATTTCGATATATTTGCCCTCTTCTTGATAATGGCAGAAAAGTAGTACTTTTGGAACCCCTTCTTGTTGTTCGCTTTGTATTATATGTTTCGTCCTCCCTCTCGATGGATTTGATAGGATTTGGTGGCACTTTTTCTCTCTGAGCTATAGCTCTCCGATGAGCAATGGTCCATGGGTTATCGATGAAATCTTTTTGTGGTCCTTCTTCGATTTGACCAATATCAATTGGATCTGAAATTTCTGGTTCGAAGCAATCGGTTTGATTATTTGATTGTGATAATGGCTGAGAAGGTTGATTGTATATCTGAGGTGTGTCGTTCAAGCTCGAAGACAATGTGGCTTTAGACATAGGGTACAAAGAAATGTGCGTCAGTCACCAGTGGCCATGAAAATGAAGCCTTTGATGAAGAAAAACCCCCATAATGCAGCAGAACTAAAGGTGCTACGGGTGTGATATGAAGATGGCTAGTTTAAATCAAACCTGAAGACTTGTCCTTTTGTCTGCTAACAGGAAATACAGGACGTGTTCTGATACCCATCTCTTTTTCCTCCTCGTCATCATCTCCTTGATACTCATTGAAGCTATCTAGCCAGTCTGTTCCGATCATTGGCTGTCTTTCTCGAGGGATAGAGAAGCGCTGGGTTTGGACGCTAATTAGATGAATCAGTCGTGCGGGTTTAATACGCGTACGGCTCGAACTCAATGAGAATGTAAATGTGCTAAAAGTAGGAAGGTCAACAGCAGAATGTCTGATGACAAAAAAGGTGAGAGGTCAACAGCTGGTAAATATTGACTTTGGATGTATGCGCCTTCAATCCTTAATCCTGGTGTTATCATTCACCTTTCATCCTAATCACTTTCGGCTCTCTGACATTCCTCAAAAGTTCAAGTCCTCGTTCTTCGCAGTTTGCCAATTTGCAGTCTCCATTTCTCAACTCCCTTCTAGACAATACCCGTTCGAGAAAGAATATGTATATCAAGACATTGCATTTCGTATAATTAATACCAATCAACCAACAAAAACAATTCATCTCTAGAATTCAATTTTTCTTTGTCATTTCTATTATTTCATAAAACGTCAAAGAGTTCTCTTCCTCATATTTTAAGCAAATTACAAACCCACACACACAAGTAATGCTAACTTACAAAAATGCCATGATGATAATGTACTACATATACGTTCAAATGATTATTTACATTTACAACATTCTTTTCAAACCATTTCAAAGACTTCAATTCGTCACAACTTTTCCACTTTCATGGGTTCCTACATGAAATCCAATCCAATCCAATCCAATCCAATCGAACAAAAGAAAACAAAAAGAGTGATCAGAATTCACCCCATGGGTTCTGAACCAGACTACTACTCAAACTAACATCTCTTTTATCATTCCTCTGATGATCCTCTTGATCCCTTTCCACGACTCGATTTAATTCTTTTTGTGTTTGACTCTTGATATCTAAAACTTCAGGTCTAGGTACTTCCGTAGCTTCTACTTCAACTAATTGATCAACTACTGATTCTTCGACTACTTCCGTTTCATTTTGTTCTTCTACTCGATCCACCACTTTGAAAATCTTTTGAGGCCCAGATGTGTTAGTCCACCGATTGGCTTCTCCTTTTAGTCTATCCCGTTTGGCTTTCCTTTCGTTGGCTGATTTGTCTTCTATCAATAGATCTACACATCCTTCTGGAAGTATTTCCTTGGGCTTCGGCTCTTTGTTTCTGGTGAGTGACAGTATAGATCGTCTAGTGGATTGACTACTTCTACTGCCAGCAGGCTGTGTTCGGGAAGAGTTGCTAGTTGGCAATTGAGTGCTGAGATTGCTGCTAGGCAGTTGAGTGCTGGTACTGTAGCTACTACTACTCGGCTCTAGATCATCATGATCATCATGTAGAAGAGATCGTTTAGGAGCAATAGCAGTCGATTTACCCTTGTTTAATTTTCTCTTGGAAGGAGGAGCGGATGGATGCGAGCTCAAGATTCCGTCCTCGAGTGCCCTCATGACTGCTCTAGCGTCTTCTTGAGATGCATCTACCACTGGATTATTATAATCTCCGAACTCCAACCTTCGCGCATCCGAATAAAGATCTTCTTCTTCGATCCTAGGTTCCCCGAATCCGACTTCGTCTAGCTCTGATCCATTTGATGACTCATCAGAAGACTCGTCAAGGTTGGTGGGAGCGGTGTTCATGTCCCATCTTCCTACAGTATTCATCTTATGATCTGTCAACCGATGTCCAGCTGTTTCGATCTCGCTAGGTGTAACCTGCTGGTCAGTATGAACAACTTCGGCAGCTTGATCAGGTAATAGAGGTGCGTATCCACCTTCCGTTCTTCGACTTTCTTCGTTAGGGACAATCTTTCTGATCAATTTACTCCAGCGATTACTGCCACCACTGCTGCTGCCTTCACCACTCTCTAAAAACTTTCGGCCGTGGGCGACCTCTTCACTTTCTCCTGCCATCGGTAACCAGTACTTATGTTTACCGCCTTTACTATACCGAAGCCCCGCTCTTAATCTACGTTCCCTCACTACGCCTTCATGATGTAACGCTCCTTCGGCTGGTTCGAACGTCTTGTAACTGAGACCTGCTCCAGTGAAAGTCAAGAGTGAATCCTCGAGTACGTCCTTAAAACCTAATATACTGTCTCGGAACGCATGTATGAATGGAAGTCGTCCGCAATAATTCACATCACGATCGATAAAATCGTGATGTGAAAATGCATAGAGATGTAAGAATGCAAATAGTGGCATCTCGAAACAGATCATAGTGTCTTGGACAGCCAGTGAGAGAGTTTCGGTGTCGTAACGAGCTAGTGACAATTAAAAAATAGGAACAATCAGAAGACCGAATCATGGAAAGGAAAGAGATTAGACAGAAGCTGCACTACTAAACTTGATTTGAGAGCTCCGACAGCTACCAAGATCGAAATACCGAAACCTTGCCAAAAGCTAAAGAAGATAATTCCTTTTACACAGAGGAATTTAGGCAACGGTCTATACGAATGGTATCAAATTCACAGTAAGTACGTGTCGATGTTTAGATCGCAACGCCAAGTAAAATAAATGCGCCAAGTATCATGAAGCATACCTAAAAGGTTTGAGGTCTTCACCAGTACAAACCCAGAACATAGCAAGGCAGTAGAGGCCTGAGATCAAAGGAATATGATGTTAGTAAGGGAGTGGGCAAATTATTCCAACCGTAAAGTATATAAACGAGAACGAAAACTCAACATAACGATACACTTAGGTTGTATGCAAGGCTGACATAAGTGTAACCACTAGTTGACTTCAAAGTCCCATCGTTGTAAGTGTTTGTAGCCTTGAAGATTACGGTTAGAATTGCTAGAATGGGCTTGATTTGAACGTATTCTAGCAGAAGCAAAGGTTTCATGATTGAGAGTGTTAGGGCTCGAGAAAAGCAAAGACATGGCCAGGAAGGGGGATTTACGTAAGATACCGCGTTTGAGATTGAGAAAGGTATATGGGTCAGAGATATCCATGGGAGGCAAAAATTTGGAGATTGGCCATGGATGGGGCGTAGGCTGAATGCGCCGTCGGGTTGGAAAGTCAAAAGTCAGTAAATGGAATTGAGTCAATATATGCATCAGAGTGATATTTCAAAAAGAAATGAATACTGAACTTGTCGACCATGAAGAAGGATCAATAAACTACGTTCGCCACCGAGATATTCGACTAGAAGTACAAAGAAACAACTTGATAAGAGACATAGATCGCCAATCAGTTTGTTAGTCATGTTTATGAATCAAACTTTTCCAGATGACCGACTAGATGACCTACTAAATAACGAATGCCTCATAGAGATCACGGACCAAATCGATAAAGAAGGAAGCCTCGAGGGAGAAAAGTGAGATAAGAGATGAGATTGAATAAATCGGGACCATGATCAAGATCCTAACCACAAAACGTTGTAGAATCGGTTTTCGATAATTCCTCAACTGTTGACAAACACACCAGACCCTGAAGAGCTCAATCATCAATCCATTAACCTATCAAAGTTGAAATCAAGATCATCAGTAGAAGTATACTATTCAATTTTGACTAACGAGAGTAAAGTAGCAAAGCCAGCGGAAAGGCCAGCCGAGTATAACAGCTTTGGGTCCAATCTTGAGCCACTTCCACTTCCATGTTCATTTGAATTCATTTCCATCGTAACATCAATGATCGGCTGCCTTCTTAAGACGTTAATATATCGAGATGGATGGTTGAAAGGGCGATATTAACTGGAGTGTTGATAGAATTTGACGCGGTCGATGAGTGGTAAAATGAGAGATGATGTCATCTTGAAACTTCATTCATCCCTTCAATTTGTAACCTCTCATACTCCATACTGCATCCCCACTTCAGTGACTTGAACCTTGGTTGCTCCCTGTGTGTACATGCTACATAGAAAGGTGTAGAATACTGGGCATGATTCAACATGTCATTGAGATGCTTGACCAGACAAGTGAGACCTTGTTGAAAAGCCAAGGACTGAACTTGAACCCTTACCTCATATTAGTTATCAATACTAAGAGTTTCAACTGTGTATAGCATTTTTTGGGGGACACCTTCTGTGGAAGGGCTTGATGAAGCTCATAGGATTTCAACCAATGACATGTACAGGACATGTACCATATGTACTGACAGGTTTGGAAACCATTGAAAATTTTATCACCACCATCTTGTTGGTCAAAATGGGTTTTCTTAGTTTTCTTCCTCTCTCCATCTTGTCCTTGCCTCCCCATGATTTTTATCGCTGTTGATGTCATGAAGGGACATTACATGACATGTAGGACCTGCTAGTATATTACAGGTTCCACAGCCAAGTGCCGTAAACTGTGTTGTACCAAAATTTAGGGCAAAACAATCCACAGCTGATGCCCTAAAACATGGCCAAGAGACTTCCCTCTGTACAAGCCATAATAGAACAAATTTGTTACAGTCCTGCTTGTTCCCTAAATTCATCTGTACCTTGCTTTCCTCATAATTTCAATCAATGCAATTAGATCCTGCCCCAAACACACACTTCAATAATCAGCAAAGCCATGAAATTCATTTCCAAATATTCTTACCAGCCATACTGTAGGGAATTACAGCTGTGTATCACCCAAGTTTTATACATTGAACACCTCCCTACCTCTCTGTGCAACCACTACATACAGCGCAGATTTAGGGCACAGCTGGGGATGCTCTTAGCACCTTTTGTATCTTAGATTTATATTGTCCCAGGCTTTGGATGTTTGAGAATTGAAGATAAGGACTCTGGGAATCAATGGAATCTTGAGAATGGCCAAGGTGAGAGGGATCTGACTCAAGGGTCCTGCTTGGAAGAAGCAGTACTTCAACTTCACCAGATAGAATTTGGAAACCCTGCAGAAAAGTTACTTCTGTAGGTCCAATTTTCCACAACTAAGTCTCACAACCTATCACTCCAGGGACCACATTCAGAGTAAGTCACTATGCAACCTTCAGGCTAAACAAATTTGAAGGACTTTATCAAGTTTGGGAGTTCACATATATCACTTCAGGTCAAACACTATAGTTGCTGCCACAAACCTTAAAGCCTCTTGTAACTTTTCATAGATATTGATCAAGAGCCAAAAACGTCAATGTCTCTTGTATTTCAAGCTTTGAATCATCCAAGGCTGTTTTGGGAGCCTCACACCAATGGCACTTCAAAAGTACCCTTTTAGCAAGATTGGACAAGAAAAACAAAAGTTTTTTTGCTTTTTTTCTGTATTTTTTGTACCAGCAGATCATCAAGTTTATAGTGTGTGGTTTAGACCATGGCTATGGAAATCCAGTCTCTTCCTTTGTAGAGCATTTTATTTACAGTCATCCCATCAATCAGCATCCACAGACTACTTGCACATCTCAGAGCTGTTCTTGTTTCCTTTGATGATAAGAACATCAGAAACTACTGATGTTCTTCATTCACTAGCTACATGAATTCATTTTGGAATTGCCCAATCTGGTAAAAGAAGTGCCAGAAGGTGACCATGGGGCCAAAAGCTTGAGTCGATTGAGTAAAGGGCTTGCCAAAGTTGAATCATTGATAATATAGCATGATGCAAAATCAGGGCTGTGGGGCCATCTTGGACATTGAGTATGGCCCCCATCAAAACTACACCACACTTGATGGCAGTGTCAGCAAGTATGGATCCAACCCAGAGGATTTGCTTTTATAAGCTTGCAACAACTGAAGATAAAATTTTAGTACTCAAAGTGACATTTGGACATATACTTGTCCCTACAGAACGTCTGTGTAATGCTTCCAATTACACATGTAAAGTGAAGCACATCATGAGGGTTTGAAACACCTCAATTTCAATTGTACTACCTCAGATTGATTCAGAGTCCTGCTTTGCAGGTTTTGTAAAGTTTTTGGCAATTGTTGTTGCATCAACTTTTTGTGGGCACATGTACATATTTTTCTCATATTGTTTTGTTGTTTTTTTTGGCGGGGAAAACAAAGTATATCTTGGTCCAAACCTATCTAGCTCTGAGGACCCTGTGCATGCGTCATCAGCCACCATCACCACCTTTTGACTCTCTGTTATAGGATCTATGGCTCATGCCCCAAAGGCAGAACATATCCCTTTCAGCAAACAGAAGGGCACGTCTCCCACCTGGCAATTTGAATTGGTGTTGGTGAAAGGCAAACTTGTACCAATTACCATGATGCCAGCCCGTGTGTAGTTTTGAAAATAACAAAAAAGCTGTTTTTGAAAATCTATACACACGTGTACCTTTGAGTACCGGTTGGTGGTTTGCACCCAGAAAAATGAACAACAGGCATGGGAGGCTCGGGCCCCCGACAATTTGATTGTGACTGGAGGACGTCGAGACTTGGTAAAAGTTGCATGCTCTATTAGGCATTGGGCGAGGTTTCTGAAAATTTTCGTTTTTTGGTTGCGGGAACCAATTCAAAGGTAGTTCAGTTTTCTTGGAATGCTTGAGTAGGGATGGCTGGCACAATATCAAAGCCACCCAAAGCACAGCAAAAAAATATTTCTTGTTTTGCTTTACAAAAATTTTCTGAAATTTCATCGGGCGTAGAGCATCCTTGCTTGACCTGTAAAAGCCACAAGCCCTAATCGCGCCACAAAAGACACCTTTCAGACATTTCACACATACCTTGCCTGGGGCCCCCCGTTCTGAATCTACCCGGGTATCCCCCAGCAGCCGTGATCTATCATCCGATGACTTTTTCTTCTAACGTGGCAGTCAAAATTGGAACATTTTATTGACTCAAAACTAGACAGACTTGTCCAATTTCAAGCTGAAATTGAAATCAAAAGATTCAAATCTTGATCCTCTGGATTGGTCACAAACTGCTGGAGTTGACGAGCAAAAACCTCGAAGACAAGAGTCAAGCGGTCATCGGACCGAGGCAAATGAACATCTGACCCTAAAAGATAGCCGGGCAAAGCGACAGGGCTTTTTACCTGTGAAACTCACTCGCTTCTGCAATCTTCGGATTGCTTCGTGGGGCGCATCGCTGGTCGGTCAAAAAAATAGAAAAAAGAGCGAAAATTTCGCCCAATGCCTATTGTCGACTGATCAAACTAACCGGGCTCTGGCTGGAAGGCCGGTGCTTCCAATGATTCCGATCAGACAGGGCCCCACAGCAGCCGCCGCAGCATTACTCGAGGCACCGATCCTACCCGAACACGAGTCAAAAAACCCCACAAATTGTCTGCGAGCATCAAAAGTTCACAAAAGAAAGGTGACTGAGATGTTCAAAGGATATCAAATCACACGACGATTAATACCTTCAAGACTAATCCAATATAATTCTTATTATCATTTCAACATATTATCCAGATCCTCAAGCTCTTCAACACCTTCACAAGATGAAGATCAAGCTTTAATTCATGCTGTTAAAAGGTTTATCAAAACTAATGAAACTATACCTTCACAAGGGTCTTGGTCAAATGGTGAATTCTTGAAAAAAAGTAAAAGGGTGGATTCAATTAAATCTACTCTAGAGGAATGGGAAAGGGTTATGAATGTTAGCTTCTCATAGCAGTACTTCCAAACTATAACTGCAAGTGGATACTAATAGCAACTTCTTTCATGTTTATCTCAGTTGGTATCAGAGCTTCAGCTGATTTCTAATACGGACCCGGATCCCGATATGAGGCAGATAGCCTTAACTGAACTTGAAAGCCTATATTCATCATCAGATCAAGAATCATCAAACAACCTTTCAAACATCAAATCACGACTTTTAGAATCACTTTTCCCCACCCCGATCAGTCATCGACAGTCAGCTCTAGTAGAGATCAAACCGGGTGTAGGAGGGGTTGAAGCTGCTCATTTTGCTACCTCACTCATGAATTTGTATAATCGACATGCTCTTCGACAGAAATGGAAAGTCAAACCGGTCAATGTTGAGTTTATGGTCAGTGGCCACAGTATGGATGGTCTTAGAGAAGCTACATTAGAAATTGAAGGCGAAGATGTCTATAAAAGGATGAGATGGGAGGCAGGTGTACATCGAGTACAACGTGTACCAGTGATGCAAAACACAAGTTCGGTTCACACTAGTACGGCTGCAGTAATTGTTTGAGTGTTGTTTTTATTCTTCATATATTTACATGAATAGATTATAACAGCTGAATGATATAATGATGTGATTCCATCACAAGGGCTCTTCCGTTTTTTCTCACTGAACAGGTCTTACCTCTCGATCCTGGAAATCAAGACAGCCAAGAAGAAGCCTTGTTTGAGGAAAAGGATGTAAGAATGGAGACCATGAGATCACAGGGCGCCGGAGGTCAAGTTGAGTTTTTATGCAACAAATATTTCAAGATATTTGTGGGATTGACCAATTCTGACCTTCCTTCTTGTAGCATGTCAACAAGACTGAATCAGCGGTCCGATTAACACATGTCCCAACTGGTATTGTCGTCTCAATGCAAGACTCGCGATCACAACATCAGGTAAGGAAGCACATCGTCCCGACATCCTTTGAGTGTGCCCCATGCTGATCTTCCTTTGAACAGAATCGGGCTAGAGCATTCATGATCCTAAGAGCAAGATTATCAGATCTAAGGAATCAACAAAAACAAGTTGAAGAGCGTGGCCTTAGACTCTCCCAAGTCAAAACCTCTGATCGAAATCAAAAGATCCGAACATACAATTTCCAACAAGTTGAGTGATCAGCTTCATCATTGTTTTGAGTCGGATCTTAAGCTTAGTTGATTTGTGTGTTGTAGGGACGAGTCACAGATCATAGGATTGGATTAACATTGCCTAGGTTACATGATGTCATGGAAGGTGGCGAAACATTGGAGTCAATATGGATGCGATTGGCAGAGGATGAATTGAAACAGTCAATCAAAAGTCTCTTGGAGGAATCTCCTGAATAGGCCTTTATCGTCCTCTCATCTCAATTTTGAGTGTAAAAAATCTTATTAAGAACTGCAGAAGTGCGAATGCGTTGACCCACGAATGTGATGTATCTTCTACAAATGACAAGTCTCTGGGTGGGTGATTTATTCCGAGAATCTTCCTGGTTTATCGCTTGTAGTTTGGTGTTCAACTGTAGAGAATCGGGCTACATGGGAGTGTAGTGGACAGATAAATAGGGCTTGGCAAGGAAGGAAGGGCGATGTAAAATATTTTTGTAGGGTTAATATTCATTTGACGAAAAGTCCCATGGACTCAAGTCGTGAGAACAGTGCGAAAAGACTCTGATGCAAAATGTTTGATATTTATTTGAGGACAAGGTTGTAAAGATGTCGGTATTATAAAATGCTACCCTGATAGGATTTGTGGATCTATAATACATTGATAAATTATTGCTGGAGTGGTTTAGTGGGATGAAAGAAAATTATACAAGTTTGGTTTGTGATACTACTTATGAACAGTTCATGGAGTTTTGAAGAAGCGGTGGAAGATGACAGATTGCTGCGCCAGCGCTGATAACCATTATCTTCAAGTGGGAGATTGGACAAATTCAAGTGTGAATGAATACCAAGCTCGAGGTTTTAGTGCCGGGTGCTTCAATATACAAAGGGGGAAAAGTGAAGTTCATGAGTGGTGCAAGGCTCATGAGTGATTTGCCAAAGGAAAAGTATCTGACCGAAGGGCAAAGAAACAAGTTGGATGCATTTAGAAAATTGTTTGTTGGTTGAAGTGAGATGGAGTTGAATTACGCACCATAATTCTGAATGAATTGATTGTTCTCGGTATTGTTCTGATCATCACCAGCGGCAAAGTACTGACCGAAGTGAGAGCCGTGGTCAGCAAGCCGAGTTACTTGATCAAGGATGGGAGTCAATCCGAATGCATCAGGGATCTGTTGTCCTTGAGGCTGTCCTGCTTGGTCATTTGTTGTGGGAGCAGGGGGAAAAAGTAAATCAAAAGCCTCTTGGTGTGCTATTGGATTCGTCCACATGTTCTGCTGATTGTCAGGTACCGAAGAGTATAAATAATTATTGGCTTGCTGGTCTTGGGTAGAGATGTTGAGAAATGAAAAGTCGGCAATCGATTCTCTGGCTTGTTCCTCCGCCAAAAGTTGAGAGAAATTACTGTGGACTTGGTTCTGGTTTAGCATCATGTTTGGATAAAGGCTGTTGGTGGGTAAGGAGCCGGTTCGGTATAAATCCGGAGGCATTGCTCCACCCAGGTGGCTAGGAGGTTCAGGCATCAAAAAAGCAGGTTGACTAGCTCGACGACTGTCATGTACCTCATTGAAGTATCGGTCCATATTGTTACTGTTGGATGAGCTTGTATAGTCGTTCCCGAACGGCTGATTGAAATCCAAATATGTCTGAGGATATTGAGATGGAAAGACAAGTTGATTGGATGTACGAGATGAAGGTGAATCAGAGGAGTTTGAGTAGTCATCGACAAACTGAAAGTGGGGCCCATGTGAAAAATCAGACTCCATGTCTTGTTGGATTGGTGTGATTGCGCTAGAAAACCCTGATGAATAAGATAGTTGAAGGTTGCTCTCAGAGCGGTGATTAGAAAAAGGTTTCGAGCTCTCTGGTACTGGTGTGCGCTCGTAAGGCGAGCTTCGAGTACTGGAAATTGAATTTCCCCTGCGTGGGTGACCAACAGGAGTCCCGATGGCGTCTGTCGAGCGCCCACGAGGTATCTTGTAGGTACGCGATGACTTGACCGTGGGTGTGATCCCATCGGACTGGAGTGATTGATGTGGTTGAATTTCAGTGGGCAAGGGTAGCTGTAAATCTTTATAGATCACGGCTCGGGAGCGAGCATGAACTTGGTGATGTTCCGCGGTGTGAGTGATCTCGTGTTTCCTCAAATCATACGAACGCTTAAACGTCTTTTCGCAAATCTGAAAGAGAACAAAGAGTTAATTTCGAAGACTGCGAACTGCATTTACAGAGACTGAGTGACTCACCCCGCAGACGTTGGTTTGCAATGGGCAATGGACTGCCGGCAGCTCAAAAATGTAAAGTCAGGGCTATTGTAAAATGGAGACCCAAATGAAAACTCACCCATCATGTGCGAAGTCATATCTTGATAGGGAGAAGTGACATAATTTGCGTTAAGTCAAAAGGTCAATGTAAGTTCGAATGGAAATACTTACGGTCTCTCTTGGCTGCTTTGTGATCACATCCCTGTAGGTTATGACGAATCAGTTATACACAAAGGAGGTAAGATAATTCACATCACGTATTTCTCAGCTGCAGTTCAAGCTCAAATTTCCATGTCGTTTCCTGCCGACGTGTACATCACAAAGGTGATTGAATAAGCCCTGGGTTTGTGCAACAAGGTTAGAGGCAGTCATGTGGTTTTCAAGACTAAATGAGTGGGAAGAGCTTACCTCAGCAGTTCCAAAGGTCAGTCCACAAGAAGGTTGGATCCATTTGCAGATGAGCGCCATTTTGTACGAGTGTGTGAAGATACTAAGGATGATTTGTTTTCAATCCAATATGCCAAGATAGGGTACAAATCTTCCGACGTGATGACAAGTGTTGAGGATAGCTGAGATTGAAGCCCAGTTGTGCGGATTGATATTTTGAATGAAGGGTATTGGGAATAGTAAACAAGAGAATGAGGAAGAAAGTGGAAATGTCTGCAAGGTGATTGCCAAGGACCAGGCAATGGATATATCGACTGAAGAAGGGTCGAGGACCCATTGAACGCGTTCATAATTTAATTCTTGAAATCGAAGACTGGTCAGACTATTTTCGCTTCCAAGTTCAACCATGATTGAATGATTCGACAAGTCGACTCGTAGAGAACTTGACCAGGAAAAAACACCTCATACCTATCAATCGTTAGGACTAGCTGTCAGTTTTTGAACTCACACTTCGCTCAATACCCAACCAACAGTGAACACTGACTCCGATTCATTGGCAGACTTCAGTCTGACCACCTCGAACGTGATAGTATTTCTTTTTTGATTGCTGTTATGGCTGAGCCACCTCCATGCTTGGTGTCTTCTAAAATCTTTAATGAACATGATTCTCGCTACCTTTGACTACGCAGGCATGTCATGGCTCGGTACCTGACTTTATAACAGCACAACCCATCATATATTGAATCATGGCCAAAACGCATGTACCTGTTGAGCAGCAAATGAAACATCGCTGGCCGTTTCGCGAACCGAGAGGAGAGCAATCTGGAGTTGAGTGAAGTAGGCTTCGCTCTTGGGCGACGAAGATACAGTCGATTTGATTGATCGAGGTTTGACCGCAAAATTCAAGTGATTTGGTTTGGGTCTCTCGTCAAGCTTTGTGAGATTGACTTATAGCAGTTCCCTACAGAACTCACATGACTGCAACAAACCTGAGTTTTGCCCCAGCTTACTCGTCCTGTCATCTTTCTACATCCAACACTCCCGCTCATGAGGCGCAGTGACAATCGATAAGTTAGTCCGAGATATCATTTCTCATCGAAAATGCAGAGAGACAACTCAATAACACAGCAAATCAGAATAGCCATCAAGGACTCCTAGTGTCCATAACAGAGTCATGCGTGCCAATCGAGCTCAATTCAATTTTCATATAGCCTATAATACTTGCCTGGATGGGACTCTGTTCCGTGTCAATTTGGAAAACCATGTCTAGATTCACTTGAATACATATTCTCTTCAAGCTCCAGCTCCAGCTCAGGCACAAATCATGATTGTATGATTTTTGAACGAAGCCCTGCAGTTGACAGATTCTGCACGTGAGGAATTCCTCTTGGATTCTTCTTTGTTCATGTTTGTTGATTCTTTATCTCTAATCAGCAATTCTGCATCAGTGTCACATATGCCTCTTGCTTATTCAAATTGCGCCATGAGTTACAAGCATCTTTTGGCCACCAAGATATTGGTCCTCAGGGCTGACAGTAGCTCTTTATGTGTCCATCTGTTGATATGAATCCCAATCCATACCTTGATAGGAACTTACCAATGACATGATGATGTTGCCATTTGTCATTTCACCAATTTCATATATTGGCATAGACCTCCACATAGCTCATTCTTGGCGTGGGTAGGATTTCTCTTGAGGTCAAACACTGCTAAACACCCATGCGTGATAACTTGGCTTAAACAAGTCCAGTCTCTGCCAAGTTCTGATCGAGTATTCATGTTTCACTCTCGGTTCTTCACATACTGCGTGATATCATCACGAGTGGCCTACAAGAGAAGGAACATTTCCAATCACTTTCACATCATCAAAATGTTTGCCTGTTTTTCAAAGTCCGATAAATCAAAGACTCGATTAGCTGAATCTGCGAGTATGAATAGCCCAAGCTGCAGCTCCAGAGATGGTCTGTATGGTAACTCAGTCCGAAAGCTTTTTCAATCACTGGCGGAATTACAGAGCTGTGTGATATGATAGTGCTGCATGCCACAACACATAAATCGTTGCCAGCATAAATTATAGCTTCTCCTTAGCCAAAGTCTGAGTTCTGCTTTGAAAGTATCGCCGTCCGAACCACGCCAAAGCACCGAGCAAGACAAAGATAGCCACGCCACCGGCCAGACGATCAGGCGAATGGGAAAGGGGTCTGAATGTATGCGCATAGAGTCGGGAGTTTGAAATTTTGGGACTAGATTAGTGGTGTTGTGACGATGGGGCGTATATGAGATGGTCAGAGTTTCGGACATGGTGGTGCCCTCCGTGAGAGAGACGTATCATTTACACAAATGAGTGCACAAAGACACATCTCTCAAGAAGATTATGAGATGATAACCCAAAATACTTACTCTTTCAAAAGTGGTTCCAAACCACCCATAGCATGTAAACTTGCCAGATCGTCCGCCCCACCAATATGTTTATGTCCAATGAAAATCTGTTCGTGGCGATTGGGATCAATATGTAAAGTAATTAGGAAATCTATATATGCGCCAATCAGCGTCTCACGCTTACGTTAGGAACAGTTCCTTGACCGGTCAATTTCAAAAGATACGCCTGCGTTTCAGTCCCTTCCTGACCCATCAGGTCGAGTTCGAAAACTTTGGGGTCGGCAACCTTATTCGGAATCGAAGCCAGAAGGTTTTTGGCGCGTCGGCAATAAGGGCAGTAGGACTTGGAGTAAACTACTATAGGATGAGTTTTGATCGCTTCCTGAAATTGATTCCAGATCCGAAGAAAGGATATATGAGTTGAGGGTTTATCCAGTGCGGCAGGACGCAAAGATTCGGTCATCGGTAGACTGATTTGCGAGCAACACGAGTGCCCGCTCGTATCTGCTTATGAGAATTGAGACATGCTCACATCCACGTCTTGTTGGGCAGTCATCTTTGAGGTAGCAGTTGAACTTGAGTATATTTGAATTCAACTTGATGATCAGTTGTAAATGACCGATTAGGCGATGACGTTCAATGACGTTGAGTCTGAGACAGATTGAGACTGTGTGTAGATTCTCGGCCCTGGGTTTTGTTGGTGAGCTCGGACATCAGCAAGGATGGAAATGCCCGGTACCGCGCCACGTGAGTCGCGTGTCAGTTGAAAAATTATCATTGATGCCGTGAGCAGCATTCTCTCCTCATCCTCAACCTCCGTCGAAACGCAATCCAGACGAACTACTTCCGCAAACAAGCAATTATGGAATTTGCTTTGGATAAAGAAATCAAAGAGGTAAAACATGGAACATCTAAATCTGAACCCGAAGACCTTGACCATATCAAACCCAACGGTGAAACAGACTCGTTACCCAAACCCACAGTTCTCGGTGTGTAAATCTGGAAAGGCGACATTGGTTTCTGAATGCTAATGCGTTTTGGAAATCCAGAATTATGGAAATCGCTCAGCTTCTTCGATCGCTTCCTGGCCGTCTTCGTATTTCTGGCGATGGTGTTAGGGATCTTAATTGGTAACTTTGCCAATGAACAAGTCCAAAGACATTTGAATGGAGGGGCTAAATGGGGGAATGTTTCGATCCGTATGTCTAAGAATTCTCTGATGCGTGAATTATAAGTATGCACGGTAACCTGATTATGAGCCTCTTGTTTGAATGTACAGCTCTTCTCATTGGCCTACTTATTATGATCTGGCCTCCGCTGTCCAAAGTCGAATGGGAGTGCCTTCCAAGGTTACTCAAATCCCGCGACCTCTGGGTACATCTCACTGTCTCCTTCGTCTTGAATTGGCTGGTCTCTCCATTTATCATGCTAAGCCTGGCTTGGGTCACACTTCCAGAGAGCGCACTTGAGCGTGAACGCGTTGGGGTCGTGCTTGTTGGTGTAGGTAAATAGTATTGTATTTGAAAACACTTCTACCACTAATTAATGGCTCACTCTTGCTCACTCTTGCGCTCCCTCGCGATGTTGTGATGTGTGTAGCCCGCTGTGTAGCCATGGTTTTGTAAGCTCGAGCTTGAAAGTGGATCAAAGGATTCCTTCTGATCGACACTGAGCCTCGGTGCGCACGATTTCTGTCACAGAGTCTGGAATGGAATCGCCCAGGGTGATCGTGACTATTGGTGCGTCGATACGTCAGAAACACCGCTGAATGTGCACTATGTGCCCATAATCACTCTCATAGCACCATCATATTCAACCACAAACTCACGCTACCTTCAATCCAAATGCTTCTCCTAGCGCGATTTTAGTAGTATCTAATTCCATCCTTCAGATGGTCTTGTTTGCACCTTACGCATTGCTGTTTGCCAATATCCTGTGTCGCTCGCCCACCTTGACAACACCTACATTACACCTGGACTATGGTAACGTAGCGCAGTCTGTCGGTATTGTAAGTCATACTGTTCATTTCTTCAGCCTCAATTGCATGCCTGGTTTCTGTACTGATGAACTTAGATATGCTTCTCGCACTCCACCATCAACGGTCATTCGAACCCATTTGCATAGTACCTGGGAATCCCCCTGGTAGCTGGGGGCTTGACTCGCTGGATCGTATGCACTTGTCTACTACCAAGTCGTCGAGCGAAATTCTACCACATCTGGGGCCATGTCTCTGGTATCGGATTACTGTATGTAATCACTGTGCTTTTTGCAAACCAAGTGAGTAAAAACATTTTTGGCATATCTATTCTCCCTGTTCCCGCTTGAACTTAAATTTGTTCATACATAGGGCAAACATATCATCACACATATTGGACGTATCTTCAGGATCTGCGTTCCGTGAGTCAACTTTTCAATTTGACTGCAGCTCATCTTGTTCTCACATTTCTGATTCGGGATGACGCTACCTTCTGCCAATCAGTCTGCTTTTATACTTTATCATTGTTTGGTCAATCACCTTTTTTACATTTTGGAGAATTCGGACTACGTCATGGGGAAGAACCTACTCCAGCTACGAGAAGGCCGTCACGCAGGCTTTCACAGCGGGTTCCAACAACGTATGGATAATGAACTATCATCTTTTATCCTCAGACGATGTTAATGAACTTTTGCACAATCCTGATCATATGATACACAGTTTGAGTTGGCAATTGCGGTTGCTGTGGCTAGTTTTGGAGCCGATGCGCCCGAGGTTCTGGCAGCAACGTAAGCTGACATGATCTCAGAACAAACATTGAAAATGATGTAGACCTTGACTGACTGACATTTTGAAAAATAGTATGGGTCCTTTAGTAGAAGTCCCAGTTCTGCTTTTGTTATCCTATCTCGCACTTTATCTACGGGATCGATTGAATTGGTCCACTAAGTCAAAGACTGGATCGGATTTGTAGTTTAGGATTTTTTGTTTCAAGTCTTTTTGCAGTCAACTCGACGAGTATTTGTGTGTATGAGTTTTTGGAAGGTGTCGGTGATTTAGTTCTTCAATTCTGATTTGGAACCCTTATTGTATGTACATAATCTTGAACCCAGGCCCCATATAGCATTGTACCATCATTCATGTTCAAGTTCCTCATTTCTCTGGCAAGTTGCTGCCCGCTCCCTTTCTGGGTAAGTATGCTTACGTATGGGGTATTTTGAAGCATATCTCACAAACCTATCAATGCTTCACAGCTTTCCCCTCAGCCGATGTCATCGATTCTTGATCAATCTTGGCAGCTGATAAAGAGCCAGGACTGGCACAGTTTCAGGTGCATCTTATAGCCCTGAGTCTACATCTGATCTGGTTTTCAAAATCCGCACTTTTATGTTGACTCCTTCCGTTGGTGGGTTTTTTAACCCTTGAGCGGCTATGTAAGCCCATAACATTGCAACTTTGCCCCTATCCGCAATCAGGGGCTTTAATTTCGAGCCATGTACCAGCAGTTACGAAAGAAGAGCTTAGAGTGATGCAGATCTGATGTGTGTACCAGAGAAATCTTTAGGAGTGAGAGGGCAAACTATAGGGCAAGTTGGCGATTGGCTCATCTGAGAATGCCATGTGGATGTTCGGAGAAAGACAAGATGTGGTTCAAATATTGATATGAAGCAGCGGATAACCACACAAGTCTGATGGATGTGTGTGATACTCAAATCCTCATAAGCCGACCTGCAAAAGTCAAAAGTCGCACAATCTCAGATGCCATCCGAATCGATGCACTGTACTTTGAAACAAGGAAACTGTAATCTGTACTTGAACTTGGCGACTATTTGGACTGTTTATAAGTAGGGTGTTGAAGTGCGAGTTAAATTTTGCCCTCCCCAACTCTCTGCCCCACTCGACAATATCGTGACTCCTGAAGTAGTTCAATTGCGTCACCTTGCCTAGCTCAGCTTTTAGCCTTTACAGAACCTGATCCTGAGATCCGTCCCGAATCTGAATCTATCATTCATAAATCCTTATCCCGATCTCTATCTTGTATACGAAGATTGATCAAAGACCTTAAGACGTTGGTCTCCGAACTGATCGATACATCGGGATTCGTTCAATTATCAATCCTCTCGGGCGTCTCGGGTTCTTGTGCTTCGAATCATCGGCTGATCAATCCCGCAAACATCTTTCATTCGTGTGATCGGCTCCTAACAGCGAAGCGAGTTGGATTGCACAAGGCGTTCTCAACTGCAGTGCAAGCGGGATGTACGTCATTCGTTTCGCAATGCTACAACCTAAGTTTCTGACAAAATTTGGCTTCTGTTATGTTCGAAGTAACACTATCTTGCGTGGGTTAATTCGAACCGAGATATCGTGAAAGCTCCAGTATTGACCTCGAAGAGACAACAAGCGCAACTTACAAATCAACGTCGGTGCAGAAGCTGACAACATCACGACATGGCCTACAGTAATAATGCATCACCGCTCGGAACTTACAACGTGCATTCCTGTAATGTGCTTTACAGTCGAGCTAAGCGTGATCACACAGAACTCGAGAATGGATATCAACTCTGGTTGGCTCAAAGAGAGAAGAAGAGAAGAGGATTTATCACCCAGCTAGATAGACAAAATGCCGTCTTGGCTTCGTTGGACGGAGCCGATCAATCTTCATCGTCTCTCAAGAAACGCAAAGCCGCGGAGGCTTCAATGGCAAAAACTCAAGCAGAGTTGGACAAGATGGACAATGAGGATCAAGAAACTGCAGACCCGGAGATCTTAAAGCGATACCCGCACTCAATCACCGCTCAGCGTCCAGCATACCGCCGGGTAACTTTTTAACTTTTCCCTTGTTTTTTGTTTCAAGATGTTCTCAAAGCTGACCAAATGTTACATGGGGTTCTTCGGTATCAGCTGGCCTACCAACTTGCCGCTGAACGGTCGGAGGCACGCATCAAAAAGGCTGAAGAAGCGCGAGAACTCGCTTTAGCTCAGCAAGCCGTCGACAAAGCGCTAGAAGGGCACTCCATCAACGACCAACCCGCTTCCGGATCAGGTGCTCCGGCTGAGCAAGAATATGAGGAAGAGGGAGAAGAGCCGCAGCAGGAGGAAGCCTCCTACGATGAAGCCCCAGAAGATGTAAGTAATGCGACTAATCTATTGACTCGCAGCTTTCATCTTATGTCTGGAAATTGACGCTGCAGATATTTATATTCTTTAGCAACCTGCAGCTGCTGCTGCCCCACCTGCCGCTCGACAATCCACACGAACAGGATTTGCATCTGGGGTGAAGATTGACTCCTTCTTGGCCCGACTGAATGGTCCACCTGGTAGTATGACTCGAAAAGTGGGCATGAATCGACCAGTACCACAAGAGGCCCCGTCAACAAAATGGACTTCTAAATGGGGTCTACACGATGTCAGGGCAAGTAAGTTTCAGCACACACCTAAAAATGGATGAGACGCTGTTTTGTAGGATATGTTGAAAGGATACTCGGAATTAGTACTTTTCACATTTGAATATTATATTTTTCATTACAAGACACGTGGGCCGACGTACTAAAAGAAAGGACAATGGTGATATGCTAGCTTTTCCTGTGTTTATATCACTTGTTATGAATGTCGATTGAGTTTGATTTCAGAAGGCTTTCATGATTACCGAGTAAATTGAACTACGACTCATGACTCTATAATTTCAGATGATCACTTCACATCCATATTGCACATCTGATATGATCTTATTCTAAGACTGAAAAGTTTGTTATTCAGGCTACACGAGTTAGAAATGTTTGTATATTATTCCGTATATCCTTCATTTGATCAAATATCGGCTTGTACTTTGGTTTTGAATGATCTTGGACTACAAATATAGCAATGCAAAGTTATATGTTCATCCAACCTTGTAATATTCCGCGGTGTCACTAGCCTGGTTTAAGCTGACAATGGTCTGGTCCCCCCTGGAAGAGGAGCAAGCACAAAGTGAATGATGGGCTGACTGAGGTAACTTAGATTCCTCAAGTTCGAGATGCAATACCCCTTAACTTGGGCTGTGAATTTCAGTGGGAGAGGTATACAATTGCTGTTTTCTTCAACATACTGATTGAAACTGACAACATGTGCTGGAGAAGGCCTGAAATACTTCTCCATGGTCTGTGTTAAGGCATGCAGGGAATAAAGAACTTAAGAAGCACTCTTGATAGGTCAACGCTGAAGATACCAAGTGATTGTTTCAAGTTGGTGGGTATTTCCTCAGATCTCCTTTGCACCTCGAATTACTGATCATATATTTCAGAACATGTCGCTTGATCAGGTGCTAAAGAGTATCTTGAGAGAAATCTGGCCAATATACTCAGTTTCGTATTTTGACATACAAGTAGGTTCCACCATTGTATCCCATTATCCGTATCTCTAATCTTTCTATTCAGCTGACAACACGATCCCGTGAGCAACAGAAACACACCTTGGTGAGGTGCTCTCAACTACTGTGAATTGATCCTCAATGAGATAAGAAATGATTTGTTTTCTCTGGGAGTGGATGGAGGGTACCAGAATTCTTTGATGACTCCACTCATCATGCTGCAAGGATGTTTAGTTTGATAGATGAGTCTGACCACATAGAAAGATTAGCCCAGTGCATCCCTATAAATATATTGAGATGAGGTTGGATAAAGGTGAACTGTAGGAGTTGCAATTGAGGTGAGCTCTGGAATGCAGCTGGTCTGCTTTGCAACTGCAGAGGCAAGTCTGGAGATTTTAGCCACTAAAATCTTCTACTCCTTCATATTTATTAAAGATTATGTGAAAAGACAGACCTACATCCTCAGTGTGATTCACATCCCTAGTGTTGTATCAGTTCTCAAAAATATTTGTTGGACTATCTTTTACAGTAAATGTCCTGTTCAATTCATTACTTGCTTTGGGAGCAACCAGCACAATTAAGTAATCTGTACTCCAACAAGACTACCGAGATGGCAACAACCAGAAATAGATATTCAGGAGGATTTAATGACATTAATTAAACAAGGGCTGATAGCTTAGTCTTTCTTGGAGGTAAAATGAAAATTTGGAGCAAAGACTACTCAGAATACAGAACAAAGTGAAAGCAATCAATCAAACAATGAAATCAAAGCAAGTAATTCTTGAAATCAGGGAAGGCAAGGAAGAGCCTTGAAAAGGTTAAAAAAACTAGGATGAGGATGATAAATTCAAATAGGGGTAAGTTTCAAAGAATGGAAAGATGGTGGTTAACAGCGCTGGCAAACAACATGATGACGCACGTGGAAACATAGACAACATTGAAACAAACATCCAGAGAAGAATTGAATAAGTATTCAACTTTATGAGATTTCCACATGTTGATGATAAGTTTCCAACCTCTAGGAACGATGCTGCGTCCCAAAGAAAATTTTTGGTATAAAGAGCATATTCTCATTTAAACTCATTGAATCGTTGGATATCTACAGCTTTGAACCAGTTGAATCCTACCAGCGTCAGCTGATAAGTCTCAACAAACAGTGAAGTGTTGAATGATTTTCGTGTCAGTGCGCTTGCATTTGAAATTCCGATGTTTTCAGACTTGAGGGCGACATAGCTGTCCAAGCTTGGAGAAGGTTCCCGGTATAGCAAAAAGATGTATCTATGGGGATCTGAGCTGCATATGAGCAGCGAATTCAGTGCCAAGGTGCAATGAAAAATATTATGATCAGCTTGCATATTCTACATCTTTGCATTCCCTGTTTCAATGTGTCGAGGCCGGATTACTTCATGACTAAGAATCGAAAGTACCAACCTGGGATCAGGGCCTGGGGGATAGTATGGCACAATTGGCAACCTCGTCTGGATTACCTTCTCGGCATCCGAGGCGGTTTCGTTGAGTGATGACGAGTTTGAGGAATTTGACAACGTTTTGATTATCTCATTGTAGCTGGTTGGGCGCAATCCTGGTAGGATCCAGTGACACCAGTCAGCGTAAATCGGTGATTGCGGAGTTGGCGCGTCTGGATCTATCAGCATCAAGGTGTAGCTCAGAGAACACTTGGTTGGGTCCTGTCGAGTGGATCATGTGTCAGCCAGCGTCTTGACATAGGAAGGAGCCCACATCCCGCAAGGCGAGGTTACGAGGGTTTCGGCATCTAAAGTGGAATGAACGCAGTCTAGGAGAGTATGTACTTCACTGAAGAACATGATGTTTGGTGGGTTTGTGCATACTGTTGTCGGAAACAGGTTGCCCATTGTTACTTGCGACCCACCATAGCTCAAGATCAAATCAACTGTAGGTTTGAATCCTGAAGGAATCAAGGGATTAGTGCCCGCGGTGAGGTTAGCTGCAATCAATGAGTGCATGGTTTCTTGGAAAGGAGCTATTTGTGGCATGACTTATAAGTTATGTGGTGGGGTGTTGAATCAAAAGAGATCAGCGATTATATATACGTACATACATATGTCGTGGTCCACACTTTTGCGAGAAAGGCTCGCAGTCAAAGTAGATCAATTGAGACTTATCTCAAACTGCGAGGGATGCTTGAAACTTGTAGCGGACGATCCAAGGAGGAATGAGAGTCGCAGTACATGTAATGACATAACCCGTCGCCGCACATCTCGCATATCTGTGGCTGCTTCTTGTTGATTTTCTCCTTTTTGTAAAGTATTTGGCATGATCCGCATGAAGACGACGCCAACAATGCTTGGTGTACATATACGTATTGCTACTATAGTTGTCGTACGCACTGCGGAGCTTGAGTCTAAAGTGTGATGTCGAGTTTTGTTTAGCGACTCAAGATTACTTCGGTGATCTAGTGGGCAAGAAGAAGGGTGCCTCAAGCCCTTCGAATTTTTGGGAGAGAGGTATGATCTCCTCCGACACAGAGGAACGGGAGTTAAGCTTAAACGGGAGTGAAGTTGAATGACCAGGTCGAATACGTATCGATTGTATCGATTGCCTGTCTCCGAGCCCCCATATGAAGGACTTGTTTTGTAGCTGGGTTTCACATACGACCTCTTTCGACACGATTTCGTGTACTTGTCATTGCTTGTCTCAAATATTGATTGCAAATCGAACTAAAAAGCCAACGCTTATATAAAGAGCATTCCTCCAAACGAACCGCCAAAGCGCCATTGGATTTTTCGTTTTCTGCCTGGCGCTTGAGGGTCTTATCGCGAGCTGGCCACTGTGGTAAAACTACCTTCTTATGAGGTCGCAATTGGGGACGACTTTCGTTCGATTGGCGCTGATAGTCATAATCTCCCTGGCACGAGATCCGCTGCTGAACTTTCGATTTGATGGCTTCGTAAGCGCTGTTGAAGTCACGCGTTCCGGCACTCTCAACGGACCGGTGGACAAATGTTATGTTGCTCTGAAGCACAATGAGCCTCAGTCCGCACCTGCTACTGCACACAATTCCACTAGCGTAGAAACAATTGACGACAGTAACGTGATATCTGCAAGGCTATTGACGATCGATCCGTTCGAGACTTCAAACCGAATTGTCACCCTCGATAATGGAAAAGATTGCAAGATCGCCGTCCTACTGCTAGTTAAGGAATGTAAGTTCGCGTCGGGAAGCTCGCCAGTAAAGTGGGACCCGTGAGTCCCATTTTTTAACGAATCCTATATGGACATTCTCACATGACCCACATTCACTTGGGTGTCTAGACGAGTAGGCTGTCAGATGCACTTTATATCTGACCTACGGTGACCATCATTTCTCTTTGTCAACTAGACAAAAATCGCCAAAATTTAAAAACATTTTCTTCATGTCAAGGGGAAGCCGATACCCACCTCAAAGAGTCTATGCAAATGCGAGATTTCGAAGAAGATCACTTACAACTACGATTACTACCAGTCCGACTCAGCATTTTCTGAAGCTCACCGATTCATTCGGAGTCTCTGAAACACATTTGCACAACAAAAACCGACATGTGAAGCGTGATAACAATCCAAAGTCTGAAATCACGATGGAAGAACCTACCACCGATCACTTGATCACATACAAAGGATCGGGATGTCAATCTGGTGAGAGTTCATATCAAGGAGCAAGGCCTCAACTCCCATGGGACTAGTGAAAAGTGATGGGCACTGACAATTCTCGAATTCCCTTTCATGAACCCCGTGCAAAATTCAGACTACTACATCCAGCTGTATGGGCCAACACCTCAACCATGAGACCTTGAAAACCTTTCACAATGGTCTTCGATGTGCTATTACGAAGCACTTGAACCTCGCCTACCTCGCAGTCAGAAGAGACCCTACACCACGGAAACCGGAGAACTCGAATGCCCCTTGTTCAATACCCGGCGATGCCTAAGGCCCCTCGTATTCAGACATGTATAGGTGTTTTTTACTTCCTCTTGCAAATTGCCTGACCCCATATGCATCAGAGGGGCAAGGTTTATCTTAGTGATCAAGATGGAAAGATGCTATCCAGGTTGTGCTTATGGCTGAGTCGTCCAAGGTGGTAGTTCTTGTATTCAATTTCAGGTCACAAGCAGTTGGGAAGACCGATGATTATGGTTTCAAAATGACGATCCCTGAATAGCCTTGAATTGTGTATCTCGATGACAGGCTTAGCTAATCGAACGGATGGAACGAGGGGGCGGGAGATGGCATGCAAAGAAGATATGGAAAAAAGTTTAGAGATTGAAGAGATACGGGAAAATGACACATGTGTCTAGGTGTTTTATTTCTTGAATCATTGCCATTTGTTATCTCATCCTTGATGTGTGAAGACAAATTTAATATGTCACTGAAGCACACTGTACCCCACATGAGTACATTTTTGTAGTATAACTTGATTTGACAGGGGAGAGGTTTATGGAAGAAAAATAATGTTATTCATACTAGATATCCTGCATCCTGAGTGTGATTCTTGTGTGCACTGCCTGAGCGAGTCAAGCCCGAACCAGATGAGCTGTGGCCGGATAAGTGAGTACTGGCTATCTTTCACACTGAGTTCCACCCGTTTAAAGCGATGATGTCTTCTTTCGCATTCGGCTGGTTTGAGTAACACCTGGTCAAACTTACACATCAAATCTTGAAGATTATCAGGGAGCAGCAGAGACGCAGACGCGCTTCTTCAAGGAGCACTCTGTGTTTATCACTACTAATTGCAAGTAGGCAGATCGGCTGTCCTCATGATGAAAAGGGTATGTATACCCAGGTTGGGCCGTATTGTATCTAGGTATCAAATATCATGTTGTCTCTTGAGATGGCGTGCTGGATGGATCTTGGTGGCGAAGGGTGATGTTGGTGCTGTGTCTGCGAGATCTGGTTCCTTCGCACGGGCCCACATGTGAATGGTCCTTAATGCTCATTTTGCGTGTGCACGTTCTCGCACAGTATATAGGAAGAGGAAGGCCGTCATGCTCATCGGGAAGATCATTGGCGATCGTCTTGCGTCCTCTTACATCTCTTCTTGCCGGGAGCCTCATGGAAGGTATTGCACTTCTTACATGGTCGGAAGGTATTCCTATATACATAGTCGTCGCTAGCTGTTGTCACAGGATATTCTGATGTAAAATGATGGTCGGGACACTGGGGAGATATGCACCGAGCACAGAAACTTCATTCTCCTGTGGCAGTATAGCGACAACTTCTGCTTTACATCCTTGAAAACTATCGGCGGGAAGATTCCGGGAGTATATTTCGCTCGCGCAACCCATGGAGACGATTGAGCAGTGCAAAGGATACCTAGCTATTCTTGGAGCCGAGAAAAACGCTACTATAACTTGACTAAAAGCAACCATAGGTTACGGACAATGAAGCATAAATCAAGCAGAGCGCGTAGGAGCGCGTAACATAAATGACAACAAGAATGCAACTGAACATGAAACGCGGATGATGAAGTCACTTGCAGGATAGAGATTGAACTTGAGTAAGCAAGACTTAAAGCCGACGGATCAACAACACGACAAGGAGCATGAAAAGTATGTAAAATGCATACGATTGAAGATAGACCTTCAATGTTAGCGAAAGTATATAAATGGTGAATCAAACGGACTGTGCACAAAAGTAGCAATAATTAAAAGATGAAAAAACAGAAATCCGAGTCATAAAAGTCTTCCTATCGTTACAAAGGTCGCGGTGAAGGGGTGGTCAAATCAAGCCAATGACGATCGAATTTATACACTGGAGATTGCATTGGGAAGGTAATCAAAGAAACATGATATCAGATCAAAGCTGTGCATCAAAACGAAAGACCTGGTGGTTACTATTAGCAAAAGCTAACCATGGTCGAAGACCATGATGCCATAGTAAGATTTTTTTTTGATAAACAAGAAATGATGTTTGAAAAATATCATGATTCATTGTATGAATTTATCTTTGGAGTTGGTTCATCTTTATGGTAGGAATTATAAAATTACCATGATTGCTTTTATATCCTCATCAGTCAACCAACGAGATGACATGGCTGGATCTAGGTGGTGTTTGAAAGATTGTTAGAGAGCACTTCAATGGTATCATTGCACTGAGCTAAGAGGAAACTTACAAGCTTAGAGCTTGATGGCCTTTTCGTGGATATCGGAATCATGAATCAAGGAACGTCGGAATCGGATAGGCGGAGTTCTGGATAACTTTGAATCTTGCGATTGTGATTCTGATTCTGATTTGACCATGCCACAAAGGATGCTCACACACACGAGGACCAAGAAGGGTAGACGCGAAAAAAAGTACATCCTTGCAAATGTGAATTATATGTGGATCGAGAAGTGGTTTTGCGAATGATCGATAACGATGGCGACTTTTTATGAGGAGGATTTAGAGGAAAGAAGAGATTGCTGAACTTCAATCAGGTTTTGAAATTTGTTGTACACATGCTATCTCAAGACCTGTCTGATATCGTATTATTAGATTGTCAATGAAAGGCGACATAATCTCTGGGAAAGCACCCTTCGAGTGAGATGAGAGAAAAAACGGGAGAATTTAAAATGATGAATTCAGATCTACATACTTTATCCTGTATCAAACAGTTGAGTCTTCACAATTGCCCTCTCTTGCCTTGCCTTCCGGCAAAGCTTCTCCGATGGCAAGTTGGCAACCGCTGGCGACCGCCAAGAGTGTTCTCCTGTGTACTCTCAACGTTGGCATGAAATAGAGATATTTTTCAGGACCCTGGAAAGCGCCGGTCGAGGTGTGTGACGAAAAAGGTCGGTTTTTGGTCCGATTTTAGGCCTATGTTAGTGACGGAAAAGGTCGGAATTGGGCGTTGCGAGTGACATGTTGGTGACGTGATAGGTCGGAATCGTAGGTGTGGCCGGTGGGTGGCCAAATGTTCTCGTGTTTGTGACGTAAACGGTCCGAGAAAAGTGGATGAAACACAGGAAAAGATCAAAGAAAGAGTGAGAGATCTGTAAGATGTGGAAAGATGCCAAAACTGAATATGAATCCAACAGTATGGCTGCAGATGAGTGGACCTTTGCTATATGTGTTTCCTCCATCTCAAGGCTCAACTATCTACTCGATCACAGTAATTATCACGGCTTTCGAAAATCAGCTCAAAGCTTCAACAGCTACTGGAGCCAAGGTAGACACAGATTGATATATGTGATCTATTAACGGTACTCAAAGTTGTGTATACTTTGCTGTGCATAGTTTTCTTTTCTTTTTTCACAACTTCACACAACCAGAGAAAACTATGTTTTTGGCTTGTAAGTACATATCTTTGAGCTTCAATCAAGAAACATACATTTTCCAAGTTGTTTGTAGTTGCAAAAAAAACACAAAAAAACTATGCACGCCAAAGTATACACAACTTTGAGTACCGTTACAAAAAAATCATGTTTTCAATTACTCGTTCTCTCAAATTTCTTTGTTGTTCCTTTCTGTTGTTATCATCTACTTGGCTAGCTTGTTGAGTCATGTTATATTTGGAAACACCACTTTCCCTGCAGTTTAGATGTTAGTGACAAAAAAGGTCGGAATCCGACTTTTTTTTGAAAATTTTCCAGAGAAAGGTCAGAATTTACGTCACACACCTCAACAGGCGCTTTCCAGGGTCCTTATTTTTCAAACTTAACACCCATAGTTCATCCTGATGACCTGTTCCTTCAGACAATTCAGGTCTATTCAGGTATGTATCCCAAGCTGTGTACACTATGGGTCAACGGTTGACAGCTCAGGATGTCCGTTATTCATCCTCCCCTAGGACATCACCTAACTTAACAAAGTCCCTCGATGCCTCAACAGCTGTCATTCAACGAGTTGAATCCACATGTCTTGGCATGAGGGACTTACCCCCAACGTCATGTTTTTGGCCTGAAGGCTTAGGCTCTTTTTGGTGGGGACAATCATTTGAATTGAAGCACTTCACAACTCACGAAGGATTTTCTGCCAACCGCTCAGCCAAGTATGCGCTCAATCTGCCTACACATCTTACAATTGAAAGCATCCCTGAACGTTGGTTCCTCGCTGAGCTACATCAAATTGCATTTGTGTAATTTTGACATGTAGCTCGACTAAGGTCAAGGACTTCTTTGGTTCTATAGTGAGCAGTCCCCCGACATAGTCGAGCTACATGTGGAAATTACGAAAATTCAAATGTATGTAGCTCAGCAAAGAACGAGGGGAATTTGATGAGTCCACCTGTACGATATGGAGCAAGACTCAGCGCACATCTGTGTGCACGGTTGGCAGAAAATCTTTGGTGTGCTCACGGAAAAGAGGAAAACAAGATGCCCTCCACCAAGAAGGGCCTAAGCCTTCAGGCCAAAAAGCAGACATTAGGGGTAAGTCCCTCATGCTGAGACATGCGGATTCAACTAGTTTGAATGACAGCTGTCGAGGCATCGAGGGACTTTGTTAAGTTAGGGACATCGCACGGATGACTGCAAGAGATCCTTGCAATGTTTTGGGTTCTCACTGTCAAC